AGTTACAGGCACTTGGATAAAAGACATTTTCATGTTTACACTCAGTTTTTCTGCATGCTGTTGCTTTTCTTTTTTTTTTACTGACCACTCTTTTAGCTTTTAAACTGTTACAGCTTAAATTATAGGTCATGCAATATGCTATTTATATGTCTGGGAACTTAATTTGAAGCTTCTTATATTTTCCCACTATTGCTTGTCCTCATCTGGGGTTGAACAAATTGGCAAATGTCATTATTCCTGTTGGAGCTATTACTGTTTTTCAGCTTTTAATAAAAAAGCTGTATGCTATACAAAACATATTTATAAAGTGCCACTTGTGTTACAATAGCTCAGCATTGTTGGCCCTTAACAATTGTATAAATCTAACAGTACTGGCTTTACCGTTAACAGTGTTGATGAATTGCCGACTACATTTACATCAGCCCGTTTCTGATTTAAAGCTGTATCTCATCTGTCATCTGCTCTAAATTTAAATCAGTAAATTGAAATTGAAATCAAATTTAAATTGAAACTGTGTGAGAGCAGAGAAAATAGCCAGCGGTTAAAACAAAGCATTTATTCTTGGATCGCACAAGCCAGTTTGGTGTGGTGGTTGAGCTGCTGGCTTAGAAACCAGGAGACTCTGAGTTCTAGTCTTACCTTGGCATGAAAGCTATCTGGGTGACTTTGGGCCAATCACCAGGAGAAGACGAGTTCTAGTCCCACTTTAGGTATGAAAGCTAGCTGGGTGACTTTGGGTCAGTCACTAGGGGATGGTGAGTTCTAGTCCTACCTTAGGGCATGAAAGCCAGCTGGGTGACTGGGCCAATCACTAGGAGACAGTGAGTTCTAGTCCCACTTTAGGCATGAAAGCTAGCTGGGTGACTTTGGGCCAATCACTAGGAGACGGTGAGTTCTAGTCCCACTTTAGGCATGAAAGCTAGCTGGGTGACTTTGGGTCAGTCACTAGGGGATGGTGAGTTCTAGTCCTACCTTAGGGCATGAAAGCCAGCTGGGTGACTGGGCCAATCACTAGGAGACAGTGAGTTCTAGTCCCACTTTAGGCATGAAAGCTAGCTGGGTGACTTTGGCCAATCACTAGGAGACGGTGAGTTCTAGTCCCACTTTAGGTATGAAAGCTAGCTGGGTGACTTTGAGTCAGTCACTAGGGGATGGTGAGTTCTAGTCCTACCTTAGGGCATGAAAGCCAGCTGGGTGACTGGCCAATCACTAGGAGACGGTGAGTTCTAGTTCCACTTTAGGCATGAAAGCTAGCTGGGTGACTTTGGGTCAGTCACTAGGGGATGGTGAGTTCTAGTCCTACCTAGGGCATGAAAGCCAGCTGGGTGACTTGGCCAGTCACTAGGAACGGTGAGTTCTAGCTCCACTTTAGGCATGAAAGCTAGCTGAGTGACTTTGGCCAATCACTAGGAGACGGTGAGTTCTAGTCCCACTTTAGGCATGAAAGCTAGCTGGGTGACTTTGGGTCAGTCACTAGGGGATGGTGAGTTCTAGTCCTACCTTAGGGCATGAAAGCCAGCTGGGTGACTGGGCCAATCACTAGGAACAGTGAGTTCTAGTCCCACTTTAGGCATGAAAGCTAGCTGGTGACTTTGGGCCAATCACTAGGAGTCGGTGTGTTCTAGTCTCACCTCAAGCATGAAACCCGACTGGGTGCCTTTGTGCTAGTTATTCTCTCAGTAAATAAATGAGCTTCCATTTTCATTCAGGCTTTGAGGTAACTTCATTTTCTGCCTTCCTATTAATGATTGACATATTCTATGGCTGAGATGAGAAATCTAGTGTTAACTTTGGTCTAAACCTGTAACTCAATTCACCCGCCTTCTCCTTTCTCTTGTTAATTGCCAATAACTAGTTTTAAGGCATAATCTGAGGGAATGGAACAAACTGACCCAGTGCAAAACTTTGGATCTCGGCATCTCCGTTTCAAAGCCGAGAGCCAGCGCTCTCCCGAAGACGTCTCTGTGGTCATGTGGCTGGCATGACTAAACGCCAAAGGCGCACGGAGCGCTGTTGCCTTCCCACCAAAGGTGGTCCTTGTTTTTCTACTTGCATTTTTTTTACCTGCTTTCGAACTGCTAGGTTGGCAGAAGCTGGGACAAGTAACGGGAGCTCATCCGTTACGCGGCACTAGGGATTCGAACCGCTGAGCTGCCGACCTTTCAATTGACAAACTCAGCGTCTTAACCACTGAGCCATCATATGTGTGTGTATGGACTACTATTAGATGTAAACTAAGAATACATGTTTTAAAGATTGAGATTTTTTTTTATCATTAAATAAAAGATTACCAATAAGTTTAGCATCATTTCAAGCAGGCCGAAATATCAACCCATCAAATTAAAAACAACAACAACACTTGGATTTAGATTAAAATCTATTCCATACGGCTTCATTCTATACTAATAAGGCATTGAATATTGTTTGTCAATAGTTTAATATTTAATTTGCTATTTGCTGAAGTATCAAATAGCTTTTCACTGAAAGTATTATATAAAAATAGAAATGTATGAATGTATGAATTGTGAAGAGAAAAAATTATAAGGGGGTTGAGGGGTTCAAGTTTTATAAAAAAAAGGGATTTTGATGGGATTATATTCAGTGGAAGTCAGGGGGAGGGTTAGGGGGGTTTGGGGGGGTTAGGGTGGGGAGTGAGGAGTGGGTTGGGGGGGAAAGTGGGCTAAAAATGTAATTGTAAAACTTTTGCAATAAAAAAATAGTTTAATATTTGCTTTATTTGAATAAACACAACATAAAACCTAGTAATACACAAACCTTTCGATCAACAAACTCAGTGTCTTAGCCATTGAGCTACCGTGTCCCACCTCACTTCAGCTATACCTAAAGGGGAAAAAAATCATTCTCTCTAGCACTGTAAGTTGTAAATCAAAGTGACTTCATGTGCACTTTTATCCATAAACCACGCCGAATAGACGTGTTTGGTCATCCATTCTCTCAACGTACCTCTATGAGCGTAAAATTGTATATATTCGACATCCAAACATCCTCATATTAATCCATTCAGTTTTTGAGCTCCTCTATATCTAAATGATAAGGTGAGAAGCAATGGAGCAAATATTTTTTATGCTGTATCAATTCGCCTTTGCAGAACTGTATATTTTCCGCACTCTTAAAGTTGACTATTTTGAGTGGTGCGGTGGCCTAGAGGTGGAGTTCTCGCCTCACAATCGGGAGGCTGTGAGTTTGATCCTAGGTAGAGGCAGATATTTCTCTCTCTGGGCACAATGAGGATATATCTGCTGGAAATAACTCCGCATTGGCAACAGGAAGGGCATCCAGCCAGTAAACACTCAGCTCCATTCAGTTGCCCAGACTCCACCCTGCAAAGGATTTATTTATTTATTTATTTATTTATTTATTTATTTATTTATTTATTTATTTATTTCAATTTGTATACCGCCCTTCTAGTGGACTCAGGGCGGTGAACAGCCAGAACTAAAACACATGCAGATACAAAATTTAAAATTGTTAAAAGAATTATATAACTGGCCCAATTTAAAACAGTTCAATTTAAAACCCCATGACAATTTAAAACTAAAAAGACTAAAAAAGGGGGGAGGGGGTTCACGCCAGCCCTACTTGATGGAAAAGAAAAGTTTTCAGGGCACGGCGAAAGACCCGGAGATCTGATATCCTTCGTATCTCCGGGGGCAAATCGTTCCAGAGGGAAGGAGCTGCCACAGAGAAGGCCCTCCCCCTGGGGGTCGCCAGCCGACATTGCCTGGCTGACGGCACCCTGAGGAGTCCCTCTCTGTGGGCGCGTACTGGTCGGTGGGAGGCTATCGGCGGCAGAAGGCGGTCCTGCATTAATGGGGTCATTAAAAGAAGATGATTAAAAGTGCCTATTTTCCTGTTAGGTACAAGTCATCCTTGTTGTATAGGATTGTATCTACACCTTCACTGCCATGGTTTTTCTTTTCTTGAACTATAACCATTTAAAAAAAAAACAAAAAAAAACCCAATTCCATAATTTCAAAAGCTAATAATTACTAAAGCTATAAAAACTGTACATACATAGTTCTTTTTAAAAAAATTGGGAGTTTCTGTATTCATAAGATCCTGATATCTTACGGAACGGAGAGGTGGGTTAAAAAGAGTCTCTTTGGGAAGTGTTCAAAACTTTAGAAATGGAAAATTGTGCTGCATTAGACAATTCCTGCTCTCCATTGTCTATTGAATCATTATTATCTAACGTACGTCTCTGATTAAAACAGCATTTTGCAATTAGCTGGATTGTTATTAGTCTGAATTTCTTTTCTTTTTTTAAAAAATAATTTTTATTAAACAGTTTGTCTTTAAAAAATAACACAAAAAACAATCACACACATATTAAAAAAACACGTCAAAACATAACGTATTGAACACACATTATCATATTCATTGTCTGAATTTTGGGCCTGGTGGCTCAGCAGACTGATAGCATTGTGATTAACACCAGCTGTCTGCAATTACTGTAAGTTCGAATCTCACCAGGCTCAAGGTTGAAGACGTTTTTATTTCATCAAGCCGGCCTAGCCTAAATGGTTTTTAATTGGGATTTTAAATTTTATGGATTTGGGGTTTTAAATTTGGGTAGCCAATGATTTAATTCTTTTAATTATCTTAACTTTTGCATTTGTATGTTTTTTAATTTTGGCTGTTCACCGCCCTGAGTCCCTTCTGGGAGAAGGGCGGTATACAAATTAAATTAATAAATAAATAAATAAATAAAGGTTGACTCAGCCTTCCATCCTTTCTAAGGTAGGTAAATTGAGGACCCAGTTTGTGGGGGCAATAAGCTAATTTATTGAAATTTATTCATTCAATAAGCTGACTTTGTATAAATATAAAAAAGTATGAAGGCTATTGCTTAACGCACTGTAAGCCGCCCTGAGTCTCCGGAGAAGGGCGGCATATAAATCAAATTTTAAAAAAAATGAAAAAAAAAATTCTAATTAACCTAACTGAAGTTCTGGTTTTTTTCTCCCCCCTTTAAATAGGTACCTGTCAGATGAAGGGATCGAGGCTTGCACAAACTCACCTGAAAAAGTCAACATCAACGATATTATCCTGATTGCACTTAATGTAGGTACAATTTGCGAACTTTTAAAATGTATATCCACTCGGGTCCTGTGGTCATTTGTTAGTTAGATTTTTAAAATACCCTAGCTAGCTCTAGAAATGAAAATGTTCTAGGCTGGTTATTTTATTTTTCCTTCGACAAATATTTATTAGCCTTCTGTTTTATGTTGTTCAAATTTATACCTTCTGGTCAGTCATGTATTGTTTGTCGTTAAATAATAAAGATATATTTTTAAAGAGGGAGGGAGGAAATAATCAGAATAGAGCTGGAAGGGACGTTGGAGGCATTCTAGTCTAACCTTGAGGAGGGGACCCTATACCATTTCAGACAAGTGACTGTCTAGTCTCTTATTAAAAACCTCAAGGAAAGAAGGGAGGGAGGGAGAGGGAGAATAGGAAGGGAGCAATAAGAGGAAAACAGGAAAAGGAGGGAGGGAGGGAGAGGGAGAATAGGAAGGGAACAATAAGGAAGAGGAAAACAGGAAAGAAGGAGGGAGGGAGGGAGGGAGAGGGAGAATAGGAAGGGAGCAATAAGAGGAAAACAGGAAGGAAGGAGAGAGAGAGGGAGAGGGAGAATAGGAAGGGAACAATAAGAGGAAAACAGGAAGGAAGGAGGGAGGGAGGGAGGGAGAGGGAGAATAGGAAGGAGGAGCAATAAGAGGAAAACAGGAAGGAAGGAGGGAGCGAGAGGGGGGAATAGGAAAGGAGCAATAAGGAAGAGGAAGGAAGGAAGGAAGGAAGGAAGGAAGGAAACACAGTCCAAATCTGATTTCTGTTTAGAATTTCTTTAGAAGTACATACTGAAATTTTGCTTGGTCTTGGGAGAGTTTAAAGGTTATGTATATGTCAGTGTACTTAATTTTCCTCCTTCTGTGTTTAGTAGAAGGTGCAAATAATAGTCGGTTAGATTGCAAGGAGGTTTCTAGGTTAGAGATTATAATTTGCCTAGAATGGCAGTAATATTAGGATAAAACTGGTTATACTTTAGTTTTACTTCTGTCATATTGGCCTAAATTGTCCACATCAAAACTGCTACTGTCTTTATTAGTAAGGAGGATGCCTGTAGAATGAGGGCAGCTCAGGGTAACAAATCCTTTAGTAAGTTTTCTACTTATTAAAATGTTTTATGGATCCTTGATTGCCCAAAACCATAAGAGACAGCAGAAGAGAATATGGGGCCATCTGGTGACATTCTTGATATCTGGATGATTCGATTGTCGACTGTAAGAGGAGTAAATTATTTTTTAAAAACGAATTAGCAAATGACACGGAAAAGAGAAAAGTAGAAACGTTTTTTGTAAATTCTGTGAATTTAAGAGAAACGGAAAGTATGTAATAGAACAGAATAAAGATCTTCTGGAGTGAATTTTATTGAGACACACATAGAACTGAAAGTGGTGGTTTAATTATAATTAAATCCATTTCTTATACCGAAGTGGCAGACGAATGAATATTCATTTAAAAGCACGAGTGGTTTGATTGCTTAAGAATACAGGAATTACAAGGACCATGAGAAGTTCAGTATCTGAAGCACCATTCTTTGATAGTGTCGGAAGTGGGGAGAAATAGACTACGAAGGCAAAGAAAGAAGCTTATTGGTTTTTTAAAAAATGAAAATAAAAGCCTAGCTCGAAGTAGAATTATTGCAACAAGAGAAATTCCTATTTGAAAAAAAAGTGACAAGATAGACTTCCAAATGGAAAGTGGATAAAACGTAGGATGATATGAAAGCTGGTGGAACACAGTAAAATAACTGATGATAGGTATGAAACAAACAAAATGCTAAAAAGTTATGATATTCATGTAGTTACTTACCAAGCACATCTAAATTATATTAAAGTAACCAAAATATCTGTACAATCCCCAAGGCATGTCACAACTTTTGACCGCCTTTAATGTTTGGGAATTGAAAGTTGAAAAATTTGACACGCAAATTTGACACCATTAAAAATTTAATTGTGTATGTAAGTAAAAACTGACATTTTCTTGGTAAAAGAACTGGACTTACTGTATATATTTTCAACTTTCATGTTACTAGCCATTGCACATCCTGAGCATTGTGTTATCTAGTACTTCCTGAATGTTTTTCCTAAAAAAAAAATGTTTAGCACTAAAAAATACAGAATAAAAATACTGTAACAAAAAAAAAAGTTTGAATTTTTAAAAATCATCTATATGCTCAGAACATTTACAATTTTCTGTCCCGCATGATGCTTACATGGTTGAAAGTGATCTGTTAGGAAAAAATAATAATTCGTTAAATATTGACCAAGTTTGAATCCATTTCTCCTTCATTATTGAGTTTTTCAAAACTCTTCATTGTCAACTTTTCATCTAGAAGGATTTCCTAGACTTTTAAAAACCACGCATCTTATGAAAAATGCGTTTTTAATTGGTCACTGGTTTGCAATAACAAATGTGCAGCTAACGGGATGAACTGAACCTATTTCTGATTTATATGTCTTTAGAAATAAGGCAATAAACCATGACTTTCTTGGTTTACAGATTCAAATTTGATCTGTTAAATTTAGCTGAAGATTTATTTTCATGTTTTTTTTTATTATTATAATGCAAGTTCCTTCAATATTTCTTTTGCCTATTTTTGAAGGGCTCGGAGGAAATATCCATTATTCAAAGCATATTTTCATCCAGAGACCCTTAAAACCTTCAAAATTGTTTACTGTCTTGTTTTGACAGAAGACCAGGCGAAATGAGGGGGATATATATTTATTAACTTACTTGTCACTATGCGGAAAATTAAAAGAGGAGAAGAGCGGTATCCTTAGATCCTTTAGTAGTAGTATTATTATTCCTCAATTCAGAATTATCTGAGATGTTCTATCCAATAGGTTTCCTTCTCATTTCTTGTTGACCATCTCCCCTTGTAAAATGTTCTCCCAGTTTGTCACAGGATCTTTCTTCTGAAATTAGAAGATGTTAAAATAGATGTTGAGACTCTAGAAAAAGTGCAGAGAAGAGCAACCAAGATGATTAGAGAACTGGAGGCTAAAACATACGATGAACAATTGCAGGAACTTAGCATGGCTGGTCTAGTGAAGAGAAGGACCAGGGCAGACAGGATAGCAGTCTTCCAATATTTGATGGGCTATCACAGAGAGGAAGGGATCAAGCTATTTTCCAAAGCACCTGAAGGCCAGACAAGGAATAATGGATGGAAACTGATCAAGGAGAGATTCAACCTGGAAATAAGGAGAAATTTTCTGACTGTGAGAGCAATCCACCCATGGAACAGAAGTTGCCTTCAGAAGTTGTGGGAGCTTCATCACTGGAAGCTTTCAAGAAGAGACTGGACTGCCATCTGTCAGAAATGGTGTAGGGTCTCCTGCTTGGGCGGGGGGGGGGGGTAGGACTAGATGACCTACAAGGTCCCTTCCAGCCAGGGTGGATAAAAATCAATGATTTTTTTAAAAAAAATCAAAAAAATCAGATTTTTTTTATTTAAATTGGATTTTTTTGATTTTTATCGAATTTATTTTAATAAAAAACTTTTGGGGTAAAAATCTATCATAAGATAGTTTTCTATTTAAGATACATAAATAATTTAGTTTATTCAGCCTGAAATGGAGCTTAGTTATGTAGCATGAGGCTGTATATTCTGCAACACTGGGACTATCGGTGAGTCAACAGCGGGTCAAAGGAGTAGCAGAGATGACAGTTGCTCTTTAAAAATTATGATTTAAATCGAGTTGATTTAAATCAAGCCTTTTTACTAGTGATTTAAATCATGATTTAAATTGTGATTTAAATCAACTCGATTTAAATCAAATCCACCCTGCTTCCAGCTCTGTTAATCTGTTAAGTACCTGATTCACGAGGTTATAAAGATCTTGGTTTATCAGCCAGCTTATTGCAGATGCTGATTTGGGCTGAGAGACAATGATTAGACCCAGGTCCCCTAAGCTGGCTTCCATGCCCATGGGTCTTTTAGTCCCCAACCTTATATAAAAATAAGATACTCTTCAACTTACAACTGGTTGTTAAGTGACCATCTGACGCCAAAAAAGAGACTTACAAGCTGGTTTTGACGTTCCAACATTTGCCTCAGCGTGGTGACATGGCAGCATTATGGATGTTTAGCAGCCAGCCTGCACTCACACCCATGTGCAGTCAGCTGACCACAAATGATGGTGTTTTTTTGCTCAAAACCAGCTTTTGCTTCTGGCTCCCTACAAAAAGAGCCACCTAGCAAACAAGAGGTTCCCTTTACAATCACCGTGTTTCCTTTACAACTGCCACGTTCCCTTAAGAAAGGTGGTAACAATGACTTATAGCTGCAATTGTGTGGTTCAGTTACGATCATAACTCAATCAGAATAGATCCTGGAAGGGACCTTGGAGGTCTTCTAGTCCAACCCCCTGCTGAAGCAGGAGACCCTATACCATTTCAGACAGGTGGCTGTCCAGTCCTTTCTTAAAAACCTCCAGTGATGAAGCACCCACAACGTCTGGTGGCATGCCGTTCCACTGGTTAATTGTCCTCACTGTTAGGAAGATAAGATAAAAGGTAAAGGTTCCCCTCGCACATATGTTCCAGTAGTTCCCGACTCTAGGGGGCGGTGCTCATCTCCGTTTCAAAGCCGAAGAGCCAGCGCTGTCCAAAGACGTCTCCGTGGTCATGTGGCCGGCATGACTCAACGCCAAAGGCGCACAAAACGCTGTTCCCTTCCCACCAAAGGTGGTCCTTATTTTTCTACTTGCATTTTTTTTTTTAACGTGCTTTCGAACTGTTAGGTTGGCAGAAGCTGGGACAAGTAACGGGAGGTCACCCCGTTAACACGGCACTAGGGATTTGAACCGCTGAACTGCCGACCTTTTGATCGACACCGTTAGGAAGTTTCTCCTTAATTCCAGGTTGCTTGTCTCCTGGATTAGTTTCCATCCGTTGTTTCTTGGCCTGCCCTCTGGTGCTTTGGAAAATTAAAATGACCCCTTCTTCATTGTGGCAGCGTCTCAAATACGGGATTACCTGTATGTGTTTTGAGACACCGAACCAAATGGAAAGGAGTTAGAACATTCATTGTCTTTTTTTAATAGTCCACAATGAATCTTAATGGAAATAGCGAGGTGGGTGAGTAAGCAAGTACCAGCATTTAAACCAGGGTGGATAAAAATCAATGATTTTTTTAAAAAAATCAAAAAAATCGGATTTTTTTGATTTAAATCGGATTTTTTTGATTTAAATCGGATTTATTTTAATAAAAAACTTTTGGGGTAAAAATCTATCGTAAGATAGTTTTCTATTTAAGATACATAAATAATTTAGTTTATTCAGTATGAAATGGAGCTTAGTTCTGTAGCAGGAGGCTGTATATTCTGCAACACTGGGACTATCGGTGAGTCAACAGTGGGTCAAAGGAGTAGCAGAGATGACAGTTGCTCTTTAACAATTATGATTTAAATCGAGTTGATTTAAATCAAGGCTTTTTACTAGTGATTTAAATCATGATTTAAATTGTGATTTAAATCAACTCGATTTAAATCAAATCCACCCTGATTTAAACTGCAACCCTTCATGGCTTATAAAATCAAAGGAACTCTATCTGGAGTCTGATGATTTGCTTGATATTAATGGTAAACAACACTGTTCAAACTATTACCAAAAGTAAAAAATAAAATTAGGGAAAAGCAATTTGCTTTTGGTAGCTCCTCTCTGCTCATCGGGCGCTTTACAAAGTTGTATTTTAATTTTTGAAGAGTGCCTTAAGTTTCCAAAAAGAAAGAAAGAAAATGCAGTATATAAGATCTGGAAAAAAAAAAAATCCTAAACCTACATTGATCATCGTGGTCTGTGGTCAAATCATCTTTATTGCAAAGGTTGCTTCCCTTTTCTTCGTCGTCTTCTGCCTTTCGAAAAGCAACGTTTCACCTTTAATGTTTCTTTCAACTTTAGACAGACTTGAGAGCCATCGGCAAGAAGTTTCTCCCAACTGACATCAATGGCGGAAAAGTAGAAAAGGTAAAATAATAATAATAATAATAATAATAATAATAATAATAATAATAATAATATCCTCGTTCTGTCTTTAGTAAGCTTGTGCAAAAGTTTGAAAAAAAAGTGTGTGTTTGTGTGTGTTATTTCTTATAAACACTGCTGTTTTTCTCCGAAGAACAAAAGTTGTAAAAGAGCAAATGTAGAAATTCTCCGTAGACTGTAAAAACACGGTTCAGCCACAAGATGGCTGTATTTGATTAAACTTGAAGAAAATAATGTTAAACGTACTCTGTGACAGGTTTTTTTTCTTTCTTTTTTATTGTAGAGTTAAAATATAGTTCAGACTGGTCAGTCATGATCATTGGGTGTATAAAAGGAAGGTTGATTTTTTTCCCAACACTGTCCTGCTTGATTTTTCAACACTGTTTTTGAACAGATTGTACCAATTTAAAGCTAAAACAAGGAAAACACTATTTCCCCCCCTCCTGATTAAAGATTGTTGGATGACTTTGGACATTCTAAGTTAGGAAGTTGGATGTTTTTTGCAAACATCTTTTAAAAATCTTAGTTACCGTACTTTTCGGAGTATAAGACGCACCTTAGTTTTTGGGGAGGAAAATAAGAAAAAAGCTGATTGGCAGGTGGATCGGCCTCCCGGAATACACCCAATCAACTGTTCCCAGAGGTGAATTTTAGCAACAGGTTCCTTGGTTGTGAGCTCTGTGCCTTGCTTTTTTTCCTGCCTCTGAAAGCCTCCGAAACAGAGCTTCAGAAAGAAAGCCTCTGAAGCTCTGTTTGGGGGCTTCTTTTCCTGAAGCTCTGTTTGGGGGCTTCCTTTCTGAAGCTCTGTTTGGGGGCTTTTTTTTCTGAAGCTCTGTTGGGGGCTTCTTTTCCTGAAGCTTCGTTACTGATGTTTTTTCAGCCTCTGAAACCTCCGTTTGAGAAGCTGGGCAGGGCTACATTCGGAGTATAAGACGCACTCAGATTTTCACCCTCCTTTTTGGGGGAAAAAGGTGCGTCTTATACTCTGAAAAATAAGGTATGTGCTTGAAACATGGGTACCTGGCGGTGTTTTTTTTCTGCTTCTTCTTGTTGCTTGCATTATACTGAAGGTCAGATCTAATATTTTTTAGCTTGAAGTATTAAGATGATTTTGCTTTCTCCCTGGATATAGTATTTCAGAAATAACTTAGAGTCCAGCCTATTTAACATAAAAAAAAGCTTCTTTAAACATATCTTAATATGCAGGTATTTGTATGGGTATACAGGTAGTCCTTGACTTACAAACACAATAAGTGTTTGTTTCACTAGGTGGCTCAGTGGCTAAGACACTGAGCTTGTTCGGCAGTTCGGCGGTTCGAATCCCTAGTACAGGTCTCCTGCATGAGCAGGGGGTTGGACTAGATGACCTCCAAGGTCCCTTCCAACTCTGTTACTGTTACAATTGAGCCTAAGATTTCTGTTGTTAAGCGAGACATTTGTTAAGTGGGTTTTGCCCCATTTTATGACGCTTCTTGCCACCGTTGTTAAGTGAATCACTGCAGTTGTTAAGAACATGGCTACTAAGTGAATCAGGCTTCCCCATTGACATGGCAACCGTCATTAAGCACATGCCAGTTGCCAAGCATCTGAATTTTGATCACATGGTTATGGGGGTACTGCAATGGTTGTAAGTGTGAAAAACGGTCATAAGTCGCTTTTTTCAGTGCTGTTATAACTTCGAACAGTCACTAAACGTACTGTTGTAAGTCAAGGATTACCTGTAGTATATTTATGGTTGCTGAGCATGTTCTTCAGACTGCTATAGAAAGCCGAAGTCTCTTTGCTTATACTGTACAGGAGGACGCTGGCATTTGAAAGCACGAACAAAAACCAGAACCGCCATGCATTCACAAATAATTGGACATGTTTTTTTAAATCTCTCACTTAAGCAACAAGAGAGGAAATTCAGTCACACTTTTATCTTCCTTGGTGCATTAAAGCGACTATACTCAGCATGGAAAACTTTCCTGAAGCGATAATACAATACACAATTTGACAGGTGTTTTTTTTTTTTCACAGAGATGTTTCTGTCTCTCCTAGATTATAAACCTGTCTTGGGTTTCGGTGAATATAGAGGCACGAAGCAGAAGCAGATAACTTCTGGCTAAAATGATCCACCGGTGGAAAAGTGTTAAAAATTCCAATTAGTAGACCCAAGAATAGCTGGATACAAGCTCACAATACTCAGTTATAAATGATGGGTTGCTTTTTTTACCTCTAATAAGTCATAACTCTAGAGCTTTAAGATTAAGTAGGAGACCTTCTTCATAAAATAGCTTAAATACATTACTTCAGCGGTGAAATCTCCCCAGTTCTATCCGGCTCGCCAAACCGGTAGCGCCAGTGGCGGGAGGCTCCACCCACCCACCGGGATGTCATTACATCCCAGTTTTTTACCATCTGCACATGCGCAGAAAATTCTGCGTATGTGCAGAAGTGGCGCGTGGGTGCTATGCATGCACTCCCGCACACTCCCGTTCCCAAACCAGTAGCGAAGGTAAGTGGATTTCACCGCTGCATTACTTGGCATAGTATGACTATGGAGATTCTCAGTCATTCAAGTCATGGTTGTCCAAAAGGTGTTTTTTCAAAAGGCAGCTGGACTTTCTGGTATGGTACCATTCTGGTACCAGAAATTCCAGTTGCCTCTTGAAAAAAGCACCTTTGGGACCTTGAAATAATATACAGTAGACAGACTATAGACAATAGACAGACTATTGTGGGGGATGCCGAGGCTGAGCCAGAAGGAGGAGTCAAGCCTGTCATCAGCCTCGAATCTCTTCGTACCCACAAGGGATCTAAGTCCAGCCCACCTTGAATTCCATTGACTCTTATCTACCACCTATTTGCTTTGACTGTTAGTAGTTCAGATTCTTGTAGCGAACACAAGCTTCCAATAAACCTTTATATTCTTTTGAACTGCCTGGACTTTCTGATTTTCCCGTCCTTGACAATTGTGCCCTTTATCAGAGTTTCCTACCGATGCCCTAATTAAATCATGAGCCTCAAGCCAAGCTTCAAAAGAAATCCAGTTATTTATTAAGAGCTTCATGTCGGCACGGACCAAGTGAAGCCAACTCTGACCTCACTTAATTTGCATCCTGGCTCTGACCCTGTTTCCCCCCCCCCCCCAAGGTGTGTCATCAGTCACATTCTCCAATGAAGCAATTTCATGGCTTGTAAGAGGTCCCTCCCTCCAGCCACTGTGGGTCTACGTGGATATGACCTTGACGTGGCCGGCTGGAATGTGCTTTGTTTTGACTTGGGAACGAGTTAAAAAAAAAGCGTTTTCCCCATGCCTATTTGGGGTATCAGTCCAACATTTTTATAGTTATTTTTTCCCCCCTTTGTCATCACAGCTAGAAGGCCCCTGTGTTCTGCAGATTCAAAAAATCCGCAATATAGCTGCACCGAAGGACAATGAAGAATCTTCGGTGGCTCCCAGAATGCTGCGTTTGCAGATGACCGATGGGCACACAAGCTGCACGGCGATAGAATATACTTACATGTCGAAAATAAGGTAAACAAAGCTTGTTTGTGCTTTATGATGACTCTTGCAGCTTTTAACACATCACATCTTTCCGGTGCTGAAGAATTATCTCTAAGAAACAAATTATTTGTCAACATTTTTTTTTTTTTTTTTAAAGGCAAAGAGCTGAGTTCCAAGTTAAGATGAAACATTTTATAAGATTGCGCAGTGGTTAGAATGCAGTGCTGCAGGCTAACTCCTCACTCCAGGAGTTCGGTTCTGAGTGGCTCAAGATTTACTTTTCATCCTTCCGAGGTCGGTAAAATGAGGACCCAGATTGTTGGGGGCAACATACTGACTCTGTAAACCGCTTAAAGAGGTCTGCAAAGCACTGTGAAGCCTTATATAAGTCTTAAGTGCTATTGCTATTTCTGTGTGGAGAATACTGCCAGTAGCAATAGCAATAAGATTTATATACCACTTCACAGTGCTTTTACAGCCCTCTCTAAGCGGTTTACAGAGTCAGCCTATTGGTCTAAATAATCTGGGTCCTCATTTTACCCACCTCGGAAGGATGGAAGGCTGAGTCAGCCTTGAGCCTGGTGAGATTTGAACTGCCAAATTGCAGGCAGCTGGCAGTCAGCAGAAGTAGCCTGCAGTACTGCACTCTAACCACTGCGCCACCATGGCTTAATGGGTACCATAAATGCACACAGAGCTACCCAAGAAACCCGAAGGAGAAACTAATTATTATAATATTGCACCTAATTCACCTTTCATAAGCGGTCAAGCTTGGCCACAGTGGACCCAGATTATTGGGGGGCGACATGCTGACTCTGTAAACCACTTAGAGAAGCGGTATATAAATCTAAGTGCTATTGCTATCTCATTAGTAGGCTGGAATTTGGGCCACAGAGAGAAAACAACATTTGTAGGCCAGATTTCATTGACTGGTTTGTCTGAACGAACTGAAGTTCATTACTGATGTGCTGTCAATTTTCATTATAAAGTCTGTCCGAGGGAAGTAACATTACTAATATTTTGAACAAAGGATTTTCCCACCTTTATTCATAAGCTATTTTTAGGCAAAAGTAGCGACAGTTGCTGCTAGAGGCAAGTTCGTAGTTCTGTAGTTTTACTACCGATAAAATTACAGTTCATATTATCTCAAGGAGGAGTTTGCACACTTTCCAATGTAATTTTACCGATGCTGTGAAAACACTATTAACGTATTACATGCATAGATGAAATAGTTGTTTAAAAAAACGGCTCGCAAGCTTCCAACTCTATTATCTTCTCCTACAACACGTTTATTATCTACCCTTATTATCTATTTTTTCCCCTACAGCACACTTATTATCTTTTCTGCAATTCAAAATACGCTTCTGTATATTATAGCATATTATGTGAAATGTTCTCCCTGGCCTTGTCTGGATACTCATCAGAGTTAAGCCTGTCTCTTGCTTAGCTGGGCAGTTTGTCAAGAGAGTTCCAGGCTGAACATGAGACTATGAAGTCAAAAAAATTAAATCTATGATGCTTGTTGAGGGCCGTGCTTGTGTATTTGATGAATTCTACTTCTTTTCAGTAATTAAAAAAAAAACACTTGTTTTCTATGGGTTTATGGAGGGAGGGCCCATGCTATAATTCTCAAGATCATACCAAAGCCATATCATCTAAAATCTTATTGCAGCTCTAACAAAGGTTAAACAAGATTTGTAAAAGAAGATTTTACAAAGTTTAGGAGCTTGTAAACCTTAGGATTGCTTCTCTGACTGACCTTCCTTCTCTCACACGAGAAGCTAAGCAGTGTCCAGCAAGGTTAGTAGTTGGATGGGAGCCCTCCCCCCCAATATTTAAATTGTAAAGTAAGCTGGAAAGACATCCTGGAAGAAGGCAGTTCCAAATCCATTGCTTACAGTTGCCAAGGAAATTTTTTATGGCGTTGATCTTGGAAGAGAAGGCAATTTTATTTTTTTTGAAGAATTTTGCTTCCATCTTCTATCTTTTCGATTGTGGCTACAGATGCAGTTCTCCTGTTCCCCTAAATTGGCTTCATTCTTGCCCAAGTTCCGATCACCTCAACTAGATCGTTGAAGTTATTGGGATCTGATTTCCTCAATATTCTGTCCGTTTGATGGATGGGCTTGGCGGCCGAAAATGATTGATGTTCTTTGTGGCTTTGAAATCGTATTTTGGGTTTCCCTGCTTTGACGATGAACAATGGATACACTCGATGGAAATTGTTCAGCAAGCCAGGCTTTCAAAGACCGCTGTCAGAAGAAGGACAGAGATGGATTCTGACACTTTGTGGATGAAGTGATAATGATGGCCCACATTTTTTCCATGGCTGTCCGCTATCTTGTAAAATGCAGACAAGTTACTTGCTTGCAGAGAGGGTGTTATTTTTATCGCATCATTAAAACAACGCAGTTTGGTTTTCACCGTGCTGGGTTCGAACTAACACAAACGTGTATAAAATAATTTGAATTGTCGCACTTGAGTTGAATTAGAGCAGGAGTGTCATTGAGTTTCATTGAGGGCCTCATCAGAGTTGTGTTTGATCTCTGGTGCGCATGACAATGGTGAGCATGGCCAGCTTGATGTCACTCATGTCGGGGGCACTTGTGCCTGAGCGCTCTGCCAGTTAAAATGGGCTCCCGAGTTCCGTTTTTGGCTGGGACAGCCTCCTGCAACCCTCTGTCAGTGAAAACTGAGCTCGAGGGGACTGCTCCCTTTTCACTGGCAGAGGCATCACGGGCTGGTCCTTCGTTGTGTCTAGGGCGGCTCCATGGGCCAGTTCTAAGTACCCCACTTAGAACTGCGCTTCAAGGTTTTGGTTACCACCTTTAAAGCGCTCCATGGCTTAGGACCTGGTTATCTACGGGACCGCCTACTACCACCAATAGCTTCCCACCGGCCAGTACGCTCTCATAGAGAGGGACTCTCCGGGTGCCGTCAGCCAAACAGTGTCGACTGGCGGCCCCTAGGGGGAGAGCCTTCTCTGTGGGGGCACCTACCATCTGGAATGAACTCCCCCCGGAGATACGGAGGATCCCGGATCTGCGCTCCTTCCGCCGTGCTGTGAAGACCTTTTTATTCCATCAGGCGGGCTTGGCCTAATTTCTTCCCTTTTTAAATATGTAAATTTTAATCTGTTTTTAAATTATTGGGGTGTTTTAATCTGTCTGGGCCAAAATGATTTAATTTGATTTTATCTGGTTTTTAAATTTTTTGTATTTATGTATTTTATTGTTGGCTGTTCACCGCCCTGAGTCCTTCGGGAGTAGGGTGGTATACAAATCAAATAAACCTAAACCTAAACCCACAGGCCGGATCTGGCCCCCGGGCCTTGAGTTTGACACCCCTGAATTAGAGCAACGTAACTTGAATAACGCCATCTCATCCTAACACTTGTATTTTTCTCCCCCCCTCCTTTTTTTTTTTTCTTGTAGTCTGAACACACCTCCTGGAACAAAAATTAAGCTGCTGGGAATCGTGGAAGTGAAAAATGGCTTTCTCCTTCTGGATGACAGCAACACGGTGGTTCTTGGAGGGGAAGTGGAGCATCTGATAGAAAAATGGGAGTTGCAAAGGGTGAGGTAACATGGTGCATTTTCCCACCTTAAACCAAAAACGTTAAAACTCCAGCTGGCTTGTTGGACACATTTAAGGATGATGTATTTTTGCTTTCTTTTACTGTGGGGACTTGCCCTATTTTATCTAGATTATATCTAGATATCCAGATATATTATGTAGATATATTCTGTTCCAGAGAAAAGAAGGACTAGGGGGGTGACACGATAGCAGCATTCCAGTATTTGAAAAAGGCAGTATTTCAATCTGGATAATTTAGGGGTCAGGTCAATTTTATTGACATCCCGAAGCATCAGATAAAAATGCCTGAGAAAATGGATTAACCTTCATGTCATTCTTCTCTTTATAAGCAACAGTTGCTTGTCTCCTCTTAATTATTTCTTGGACATGGTATCCTAGAGTCTTTGCCAGCTAGATCCTTTAGTTTGTTTAAATCCTACCTCCTAAGGATGTTACAAGGGGGGCGGATATGCAAATACGTTAGCAGATGAATGCCAGCATCTTATTTTTGGTGACGAGTAATTAGAGCAGAAATAACCAACTTCGTTAACTAAATTCTTTACTGAACTTGGTTCTTATCCTATAACTGTAGAGAGGGGAGAGCAGTCTTTCTCAAGCTTGGCAACTTTAAGAACATGTGGACTTCAGCCCCCAGAATTCCCCAGCTAGTTCTGAAAGTTGAAGTCCATAGGTCTTAAAATTGCCAAGTTTGAGAAACAGATGGACAGAGGGAAACTCCATTACAAAGGCAACGAATCAGGCAACAGTGGCTTGCAGTCATAATAAGAAGTAACAGTTCCAATACCACCCAAACACCTTAATTCACATAAGGTGATAAAAGAGGAAGTATATTCATTGCAAGGTTTATGTTACTACAGCTATTCTAATGAAAGTAGCTTTAGGTCTACACGGTGTCTGTTTTTAGATCGGGTCTATTTTATAGGGCTGACAGTTACACCTCGTGAAGCATTGACTTGATGAATATCCTTAAGGAGTTGTTTATTGTAACCAAAAGATTTAACAGCATAGAACTGTGATGGCGAACCTATTCTGGATTGAGTACCTAAAGTGCATGCGTGCGAACCCCTCCAAATGCAATGCACATGCACCCCCCCTACATGCTACGTGCTCCACCCCTACATATGCACGCGCCCCCCCTGCACGCGCCCTGCGCATGTGCGGCAGAGACCCGACGACCAGCTGGCTGGCGGGAGGCGTGCACGCATGCGCGGGAGAGCTGAACTGGGGAGACAGCTTGCGTTCCCACAGAGAGGGTGCTGCAGGCCACCTGTGGCACGCATGCCATAGGTTCGTCATCACGGGCATAGAACTTGATACAATATATGGGTTGATAAGCAAACAGGAAGATGAACCTGTTGCGGCTGAATACAAAATCCTTCATATTTATATTTGGAAATCAAATGGAACGTAACAGCTAACCTCAACCTGGGAATTAGATAACACAAATTCAAATTTTTTACAGGTAGTCTATCTATATCTATATCTATATCCATATCCATCCATCCATATATTCATCTCTATTCCATCTCTCTCTCTTAATCCGTCTCTCTCTCTCTCTCTCTCTCTCTCTCTCTCTCTCTCTCTCTCTCTATCTCCATCCATATATCCATCTCTATTACATCCATCCACCCATATATCCATCTCCCTCCCTCCCTCCCTTCCTTCCTCCCTCCCTCCCTTCCTTCCCTTCCCTTCCTCCCTGTCTCTCTCTCTCTCTCTCTCTCCATCCATATATCCATCTCTATTCCGTCCATCCACCTCCCTCCCTCCCTCCCTCCCTCCCTGTCTATCTATCTATCTATCTATCTATCTATCTATCTATCTATCTATCTATCTATCTATCTATCTATCTATCTATCTATCTATCTACCTACCTACCTACCTACCTACCTACCTACCTACCTACCTACCTACCTATCATTATATTATTCCATCCATCCATCCATCCATCCATCCATCCATCCATCCCATTATGAACAGCCATTTTTTCCTCTTAGGGTGTGTGTGTGTGTGTGTGTGTGTGTGTGTGTGTGTGTGTGTGTTTGTATGCACACGTGTGTTCAGTGATTTCAAGCCTTCCTCTCTTTTTAATTAACAGATTCTGAGTAGAATCTTTAGAACATCTATAGCATTCATGCAGCGAGAAGCTTTCAGGCAACAGCATTAAACAGTGTCAGTAATTTACACGCTACTCTGTGTTTCCCACCCTTATCAGTTAATGAAAGCTGCTTTAATTTTTCAGAGTTTATCAAAGCACAACAGAAGCAACATAGGAACAGAAGGAGGGCCTCCTCCCTTTCTCCCTTTTGGACAGGTATGATATGCTTTCTGGCCTTGGACATCTTCATTGCCTTCTTCACACTCTGTTGTCTTGTATTTGAAATATCTGTTCGCAATAGTCTTGTGTGAAAAATAACTTCTCTATCATTTCAACAGTTTTTTTTTAATCTCCTGCAATGTTAAATTATTGGAATTTTTTTGGGGGGGGGAAGTTGACATTTAAAAGCATGTAATATTTACAAACACCCTGCTCAATAAATACGTTGAAGCCAGGACAAGAGAATATTTGTAGCCGTAGGTTTATCTCTTGCTTAAGTGTGCTTTTGCGCCGCCAGAGATGCGTATCTCAGCTTCAAGTGGACAGCAAGGAATTGGACCGCCGAAAAACCCTGCAGGTGACGAACGTGGTGAAGCCGATGGGCGACAACGATGAATTTGAAAAACAGCGGACGGCTGCTATTGCCGAAGTTGCAAAAAGCAAGGAGGTGAGTACGAATGCCTCTTGTCTTTTTGTTTTGAAACAATACAAGGTAGTCCTCGACTTACGACAGTTCGTTTAGTGAGTGTTCGAAGTTCGACTCTGGGACATTGCAACTGTCATAAATTCATGCCAGTTGCTGGACTAGAAGACCTCCAAGGTCCCTTCCAACTCTGTTATTCTGTTATATCAATCAATCAATCAATTTCTCTTTTAGCGTTGAACCTACAACAGGCCACATAGTTTATGGATTGTGATTGTAGTATAGTTAGACCACGTGAAATTGACAGACTGGGTTTTATTATAGATTTTAGTTGTTATTTATTATTTTATACTAGAATTTTTAAATGAGCCACATGCGGCTCTGGAGCTGCAGGTTGCCGACACCTGGGCTAAATCTTTGCTCACAGTAAGTAATTATCACCCCTTCCAATTCATCCCAACGGAATTAATGTTTTTTCTGCTTCAGAATGTCAGTGAGGAAAGCATAAGTTTTCCTTTTCCTCAAAATTCTAACTGAAATTTCCCTCAGAACAATAATATCAACGTTCTCCATTCTCAGCTTATATTTGAAATCCAAATATATCTAATCCAAAACCTGGTCCCTTGTTATTCTTCTTGCGAAGTGGACTACAATGTCCCTCGGTAATTTGCTTGTGGCGGCAGATCTGGAGTTTACTTGTCCATATCTCCATCGAAATCTTTTTCCGCTATTAATTAACTGAGCCAAAGCCTTCACCATCCTTAGTCTAATATGTTCTCCTGGTTGTTCAGGAATTCCTCGAAATCTTAATTAGAATTCTTTAATCGGAGCTTCCAGAATTGTTATCTCTTCCAATTCAGCTTCACATAGAGAATGTCTTCTCCAATTTATGCTCCATAAGATCCACTCTCACCTTTCACCTGTTTCGTATCTCCATTCAAACATTGGATTTCTTCCCAAAGTTGATGGATTGTTATATCAGGAATTATTTCCGTTTTCAATAATCAGTTTAATGAACCAAGCAGGCAGTCCACGACTTACAGTATTCGCTTAGTGACCGTTCAAAGTTATGACGGCACTGAAAAAGGGGACTGAGGACTGTTTTTCACAGTTACGACGTCTCCAGCATCCCCACTGCAGTGATTCACTGTGGCAAGAAAAGTCATCCAATGGGACAAAATTCACTTCCCAGATGTCTCCCGTAAGAACAGAAATTTTGGGCTCAGTTGTGGTCGTAAGTCGAGGACTATCTGTGCATGAATGATCTCTGGATAGAACTTTGAGGAAAAGACAACGAAAAGCCGTTTGCTGGGATCCATCAAGAACAGGGAATTTCCAAAGTACAGGATTTAAGATGTGAAGTGTGAAGAATAAAACCTTGGAATACAGATAATGCTTACAAACAGTTTTGTTTAGTGACTGTACCAAATTACAGCGGCACTGAAAAAAATGTGAGTTATGACCATTTTTCACACTTACTGTACTTTTTGGAGTATAAGACGCACTCCCCCCCCCCCCAAGTGGGTGAAAATTCAGTTACTTTCTTATACACAAAGAGCCTTGGTGGCGCAGCACACTAAAGTGATGTTAAGTAGCACTAGCTGCCTGCAATTGCTGTAAATTCAAATCTCACCAGGCTCAAGGTTGACTCAGCCTTCCATCCTTTCGAGGTAGGTAAAATGAGGACCCAGATTGTGGGGGCAATAAGCTGACTTTGTATAAATATACAAAAGGATGAAGGCTATTGCTTAACGCATTGTAAGCCGCCCTGAGTCTCCGGAGAAGGGCGGCATATAAATCGAACCAATAAATAAATAAATAAATAAATAAATAAATAAATAAATAAATAAATAAATAAATAAATAATAAACAAACAAACAAACAAACAAACAAACAAACAAACAAACAAACATAATGTTGCTGAAACCCCGCCCACCCACTGGCCCCCACTTTGGCCATATTCAGCCTCCGTGTGTTCTTTTTTTCAGCCTCTGCACGCTCCATTTTAGATGGAGCGCCACAGCACATCGCTGCCGATTGCCGCTTTCGCGTGTTGCGTTTTCGCCTTCCGCATGCCCCGTTTTTGGCCTCCGTGCGTTGCATTTTTGGACAGTTCCAGGCGGTGGGGATCGGCCGAAAATGCAATGCATGGAGACCAAAAACACGACGCATGGAGGCGGCAATTGGCAGTGATATACTGTGGCAATCCCTGCAGCCTGGAACAGGTCTAAAATGGAGCATGCAGAGGCCGAAAATGCAATCCGCGGAGGCCAAACCTGCGACACGCGGAAGCCAAAAACGCAATGCACAGAGGTGGTGATGGGCTGAGACGATCTCTGCAGCCTGGAAGAGCCAGTTGGGTGTATTCTCGGAGGCCGATCCAACCGCCAATCAGCTGTTCGTGCTAAATCAGGCTGCAGTAACATGCTGAAACTGACCAGGCAGTTTGCTGTTTGCTGTGAGGATGCTAGCCAGATGAATACCGATGAATGCTAGTAGGCAGAGGCAGAATTTTTTTTTTCTCGTTTCCCTCCCCAAAAACCAATGTGCATCTTATACTCCAGAGCGTCTTATACTCCGAAAAATACGGTAATGACCATCGTAGCAACCTCATTGTCACAGAATTTAAATGCAGATGCTTGACAACAGACTCATATTTATGACGGTTGCAAGATCCCGGGGTCACAGGTTCATCTTTTTGTGACCTTCTGACGAGCAAAGCCAAAGGGTGAAATCGGATTCACTTTACAACCGGGTTACTAATTTAACAGCTGCGGTCGTCCGCTTAACGGTGGTGAGAAAAGTCGTAAAGTGGGGCAAAACTCACTTAACAAATGACTCACTTTAGCAACATAAATTCTGGGCTCCGTTGTGCTTGTACGTCGAGAACTCCCTGTATGCAAAATCCAGTCTTTATCAGTGCCGCTGTAACTTCGAACGGTCACTAAATGAAGTTTCATAAGTTAAGGACTACCTATACCAGCTGTATTTTTTAACTCGTGCAAATCAGGTGGTTGCTAGTCCTGTTTCCCACCCAAAATGTTAAACATTGATAGTCCTTGACTTAAAACCATTCATTTCGAAGATAACCACCATTCGAAGTTTCAACGGCATTGAGAAAAAGTGATTTTATGACCGTTTTCATACTTAACGACCGTTGCAGCATTCCCTTAGGCACGTGATCAAAATTCAGCTGCGTGTATTCGTTCTGGGGTGATCTGATCACTTTTTACGACCTTCTGACAATGGAAAGTTTGAAAGTTTATTAGATTTCTATACCGCCCTTCTCCCGAAGGATTCAGGGCTGTGTACAGCCATATTAAAACACATAGATTTATAAAATTTTAAACCAATTAAAATCGAATATATAAAATTGGCCCTCAATTTAAAAACACACATACACCCATTTAAAATTCAATGGGGGAGCCAGATTCCCTTAACCAACTGTGTTAACTGTGGTGATTCGCTGAACAGCCGTGGCAAGAAAAATTGTAAAACGGGGCAGAACTCAACTCACTGCCTCACTTAGCAATGGAAATTTGGGGCTCGATTGTGGTCGTAAATCGAAGAATGCTTGTGATCAACTTGTGCTTCTCAAGTCTTTCACTTTAGAAAGACGTAGCGGTGGCATTGCTAAAGCATGGTTCTCTTCCTTAAAGACCAAGACTTTTGGAGGCGGTGGAAGTAATACTCGAAGCAACCTCAGTTTGAATGCAGTAGGGAATCGGAGCAGAGACGTATTCCAGAAAGAGAAGACGAAGCCTGAAGGAAAAAATGAAGGTGTCTATCGTGAATTGGTAAGATACACATCTCTAAAAAAATAAATAAAAATAGAATAGAATAGAATTAGAGTAGAATTAAATTAGAGTGGAATAGAGTAGAGTATTGGAAAGAAGAGTAAGAATAAAGTAGAGTAGAGTAATTGGAATGAAGATTAGAATAGAATTAAAATATAGTAGAGTAGAGTACTTGGAATGAAAAATAGAACAGAATAGAATTAGAGTAGAGTGGCATAGAATAGAGTAATTAAAATGAAGAATGGGATGGAATGGAATGGAATGGAATGGAATGGAATGGAATGGAATAATGGAATGGAATGGAAGAATGGAAGGGAAGGGAAGGGAAGGGAAGACATAAAATGGGGTTTGGGGTTTAAGCCGGGTCATAGAGTTCTACCCAAGCGGTGGTGATGGTGTGGTGGCCTAGAGTTGGAGCTCTCGCCTCACAATCAGGAGTCTGTGAATTCGATCCTAGGTAGAGGCAGATATTTCTCTCTCTCTGAGCACAATGAGAATATATCTTCTGAACAAAACTCCGCACTGGCGACAGGAAGGGCATCTGGCCATTACAACACATTGCTATCTCCAACCAGTTGTCCAGATTCCACCCCGCAAGGGATTATGGGATCGTTAAAAGAGGATGATGATAGAGTTCTACCCCCCCAAAAAACCCCACAATAGAGTCTTTTACAAAAAGCAGATATTCAGTTATATTCAGGAAAAGAAAATCAAACACCGAACAATAGTTAAAAAAAAACACCCCTCTTTATTTCCGTTTTTAAATGTAAGGGTTTTGTTTTGTTTCATCTTCAAATTGACTTTTTTTGCTCATTTCTCTCCCAGGTTGATGAAAAGGCGCTCAAACACATAACAGAAATGGGCTTTAGCAAGGAGGCCGCCCGGCAGGCTCTCATGGATAATAGCAACAACCTTGAAGCTTCATTAAATTTCCTCCTCAACAGCAATAAACAAGCCACCGCTCAAGGACCAGCCGCTAGAGGTATAATTTCATTTATCTATCAGACAGAAAAGGATTTTTGTAGGATCTGATTTTTTGGGGGAGTACAGATTTATTAACTTACAGTATAGATTTATTTACTCACTTGGTGTTGTGGCCCGTCAGCGGCCTGTGCAGATTGTAGCTGATTCCGACAACAAGGAGGCTGGTGTGGTACTGCACCAGCAGCCTGTTCAGCTGGCGCTCGAGTCAGACAGCGAGGAGGCTGAAGAGGATGTGGTGCCAGAGGCAGGGATTCAGCCAGGGCCTTCAAAACTTCCAGAGGCTCCCTTAAGTGAAGAGGACAAAGAGGAAGAGCCTCTTCTCAATGGACGGGCGCGCAGAGCTGCCAAAAGGCAGGAGTGGCTCCTCAGGAGGAGGTCTCCTTGAGAGTAAGGCTTGGGGCTAATTGGCCACTCCCTTAGCCTATTTAAGGAGTAATTTTATTTATTTATTTTATTTTTATTTTATTTTATTTATATACTGCCCTTCTCCCGAAGAACACAGGGCGGTGAACAGCCATAATAAAAACAATGTACAAAATAGAATTTAAAAGCAGATTAAAATAATTAAATCATAGGCCGAATTTAAAACTCTCATTTTAAATCCAATTTTAAAACCCCATTAAAACCAAATTAAAATCATTTATCCCATCAGAGCGGCTTGCTGGAATAACAGGGTCTTCACTGCACGACGGAAGGCACGGAGGTTGGGGATCCTTCGTATGTCCGGGGGTAATTCATTCCAGAGGGCAGGGCCCCCCACAGAGAAGGCTTTCCCCCTGGGGGTCGCCAGTCTACATTGTTTGGCTGACGGCACCCTGAGGAAGCCCTCTCTGTGTGAGCGTACCGGTCGGTGGGAGGCAATCGGTGGCAGAATGCAGTCTTGTAGCTAGCCAGGTCCTAAGCCATGGAGCGCTTTAAAGATGGTAACCAACACCTTGAAGCGCACCCGGAAGACCACCGAGAGTCAGTGCAGCTCGCGCAGGAGGGGTGTTACATGGGAGCGACGGGTCGCCCCCATTATTACTCGCGCGGCCGTATTCTGGACCAGTTGGAGCCTCCAGGTGCTCCTCAAGGGGAGCCCCATGTAGAGAGCGTTACAATAGTCCAGACGGGAAGTGACGAAGCGTGAGTGACTGTGCGCAAGGTGTCCCTATCCAGAAAGGGGCGCAACTGGGAAATCAGGCGAACCTGATAAAAAGCCCCCCTGGCCAAGGCCATCATATGATCATCCAAAGACAGCCGTGAGTCCAGGAGGACGCCCAAGTTGCGAGCCCTCTCTGAGGGGGGTAAGAACTCATCCCCAATAGTCAGCGATGGTGTGAGCTGGCTATATCGGGACGCTGGAAACCACAGCCACTCAGTCTTGGAGGGGTTGAGTCTGAGCCTGTTCCTCCCCATCCAGATCCGCACGGCCTCCAGGCAACGGGACATCACGTCAAGGGCATCATTGGGGTGGCCTGGGGTTGAAATGTACAACTGTGTGTCATCGGCATACAGTTGACACTTCACCCCAAAGCCACAGATGATCTCGCCCAGCGGCTTCACATAAATGTTGAACAGGAGGGGTGAGAGAACCGATCCCTGCGGAACCCCACAAGTGAGGAACCTCGAGGTCAACCTCTGCCCTCCCGTCAACACAGACTGTGTACGGTCAGAGAGGAAGGAGGAGAACCACCATAAAACGGTGCCCCCCACTCCCAACCCCTCTAGCCGACGCAGCATGATACCATGGTCGATGGTATCAAAAGCCGCTGAGAGGTCTAGGAGGACCAGAACAGAAGAGCAGCAACCCCTGTCCCGAGTCCTCCAGAGATCATCAACCAATACGATCAATGCCGTTTCCGTGCTGTAACCTGTCTTGAAGCCCGGCTGGCACAGATCTAGATAGACAGCTTCATCCAGGAATTGAGGAAGTTGCCTCGCCACCACACTCTCGGCAACCTTCGCCACGAAGCGAAGGGGTGTGTGTGGTTGTGTGAATACTTTAAAAAAAAAAAAAAAGAAATGAGATGAGAATTCGAAAGAGGAGCTATAATAGATGTGGGGGAAGATAGAAAATATGAAAGGAGGAAGGAAAAAAAAAAATCCGGTCCACCGATTGAAAAATTTGGAAGAGATTGTGGAGAACAGAGGTGCATGTAATTAAGAGCTTAAATTCAAGCCTAATTTGAAGTCTTAATGTTTGAAACGTGCCACATGTTTAGCTGCAAAACCTTTGCTATTTTAAATAATGCTTTTGCATAAAATATCGTCACTAACAAGTTTGTATTAGGAGTTACAGATTTTGGCCCTTATATGTGTAGCTATTCTTCTGATAAATAGCACTTATACACCCTTCCATAGTGCTTCCCAGCACTCTCAGAATAGTTTACAAATTCAAGCCTCTTGCCTCCAACAATCTGGGTCCTCATTTTACTGGCCTCAGAAGGATGGAAGGCTGAGTCAACCTTGAGCCGGTCAGGATCGAACTCCTGACTGTGGGCAGAGTTAGCCTGCAAATACTGCATTCTAACTATTTTCCATTTATAATACTATTTCCATTCAAAATGCTGTTTTCCATTTACCTGTTTTCCATTTTAAGTAGAATTTCAGATTAAATGGGCTCTGTACTGTGCTTTGAGGTATACTTTAATGGCATAGGTCTTAACTGTATTTTTTAAGGAAATGTAAAATAATGATTTTTAAATGCTTTACAACATAGACTCGGTTTCTTTCCCCTGTCTAACTAGGCTGTGTGGCTTATCTTTAGGAAAAGGAAAGGGGAGAGGCCGAATAAGACCTGAAGATGAGGAAGAACTTGGAAACGCGAGGCCATCTGCTCCAAGCACTTTGTTTGACTTTCTCGAGTCAAAAATGGGTACTCTCACGGTAGAAGGTAGGTAGGAAAATCAGGAGTTGCCTGGTTTCGTCTTTTATGAAAACCTACTTGTACAAAATTGCATGTGGGTTGTTGCTCTTTCATTAAATAACACGGCTGTTCTGATCCAGCTCCCCAAACACGACAAACCCTCTGAAGTTAACTCAGAGATTCCTTTATTAGGAGCGTCAGCAGCCCCGGAAAAAAGTTTCTCAATGCAAGCTAACAAGTCCATCCGGCCGGGAGATGAATAATTGTCTGCCACATCTATTCATCTCCCCACCACCCCGGCCGCCTTTTATCCCATCGCTAGCAATGGTGGCTCTTCCGTCCCAAGGACTGGCCCATAGATTTCCACTACTCTCCTCTCCTCTGCCTTCTGCGCATCTGTGCGTCAGGCACTGGACCCAGCTGTTCCTCTTCCTCATCAGCCACATGTAGACCTGGTGGCTGTTGACTCTCCATCTGAGAGCTGACGGATGGCCCAGGCTCTGCCTCTGTTTCTCTCTCTGTCAGCTCCATTCCCTCTTCCCCCTCAGAGTTCTCAGGTTGCCTTGATGCTGACCTTGACTCCCAGGCCTCCTCCTCCTCTGATTTGGCTGTTAGAGAGGCCGGCGGCTGACAGACCACAACAACAGTTTTGTATTTAGGGCAAATATTTAATCACACAACAGAGCAGCACGGTTTTCTAGAGGTGGAGATCTCCTCACAATCAGGAGGCTGTGAGTTTGCTCCTAGGGTAGTGACAGATACTTTTCTCTCTGGGTGCAATGAATTATTGTCTGCTGCGAACTCCACATAGGCGTCAGGAAGGGCATCCGGCCAGTAAAGGCTGGAGCTCCGTTCAGTCGGCCCGACCCCACCCCACTGCAAGAAGTTACAGGGTCGTTAAATGAAAAGGAAATAATCACACAACAAAACCCATTTGCAATCCACGGGAAGGGGAAGAAGGGAAGGATCAAACAAATGCAGAGATTTTACTTCTTTTGTTGCTGGAAAAAGGGTGTGCATGTTTTTCCAAGCATCTGCCTTGACTGTTGAACTTTTCCCAATTGGAGAGAATGTTGAATCCTTGACACGTCAAAACCAGTAAAGGAAGATAGCACCAGATAAATATCAGGAAAGGGGAACTCCCAAGTCATTGTTAACGAGGGCAAAATGACCTTTATACAATTGTATAAACTATTGTATCTTTTCTGCACAAAAGAGAGTTAAAAAGAACAATGCTAAAAAGCACTCAAGAGTCTTACCAAAGAACAAACAACAGATTAGCAGCTGGTGAAACCAACACTGCTCAAAGTTGTGAATTACATCCCACCCATTAATAACCACTTAAACCAGGGGTGTCAAACTCAAGGTCTGCGGGCCGAATTCGGCCCACGGGGTGCTTAGATCTGGCCCGCGGGGCTGTCCTGGAAACAGCAAAGGACTGGCCCACGGTGCCTCTGCCAGTGAAAACAGACCTCGGGAGGGCTGCATCCGGGCCCTATTTTCACTGGCAGAGGGCTACAGGAGGCCGTTGCGCCCGAAAACGAGTCCCAGGGGGCCCACGTGCACCCCCCTCCAAGTTTGCTGGCAAGAGGGCTAGCAAAACAAACTAATAACAAAACTAAAGGAGAAATGTTTCCCCTTTTGCATTTGAGCATGCAAGAAGGGACAGGAAAGGAAAAGAGGAAAGACAAAGAAGGAAAGATGGGAAGAGAGCAAGGAAGGAAAAATAAGGAAAGAGGGGAAGGAAGAAGAAAGAAGGAAGAGAGAAGGAAAAGGAAGGAAGGAGATTATAATGAGAGTGTGGGAGAGTCTGAGGGAAGTCCTGCCTTAGCACTTGGCCACCACAGGTCCCCCCCCCCCGGACACGAGTGATGTCAAGCTGGCTCGGGGGGCCCACTGTGGCCCCCCAAGGTCAAACACAAACCTGATGTGGCCCTGAATAAAATCGAGTTTGACACCCATGACTTAAACTGTGCCAGAAATTTTTGAAGCGTTAGAAAACTTAGGCAGCCCCTAGGAGGTTGTCACAAAATGCCTTCTAAATGGACATTGCATCATGGGTTAATTCTTCTAGAAGGTGATAAACAGTTTATTTTTAGAACAAGATTACATTTTTTTTCTTTTTTTTTCCTTTAGATTATTCCTTACCCAATGATCCATTAGCCGAAAATTCTCAAAAGGCCAATTTTTTGCTGGATATAGTTGTAACAAAACGAAATTTGACGTTTTAAATCAAGGCATCTTATTTTATTTTATTTTATTTTATTCTATATAGCCCAGACAGTCCATTGGCCATTATGGTAAAAAGTGGAAGAAAATGGCTTGGAAAATGCTTTAGCATTTGCCTTAATTGCAAGTCAGGAAACCTTTTGTCTTCAGTTAGGTGGTTTCAAGTTGACAAGCCTTCTTTTCCTTTTAAACTGTCATTCAATCATTTTATTCATTTCCTCGCCTGCGAATTTGTGACCTTGAAATAATCACGCCAAACCAATTTTTCTCCCTTTAAAGGAAGCCTTAGAAATTCACTAGGAAGGATACATTAGCCTGAGATGATTAACACAATTTAAATTTATTTAATGGATGGTGGTTTTCAAAATCCCAGGTTATTGTCAGTCAAATTATCTGACGTGATGGAGTATCAGAATTGCACCAACGTAATTGCAACAAATGCTTCTTGCTCTCTTCATTTTGTCCTACTATTGACGTCTTCTGCTAACTTCTGCTAAGTCTCCTCTTTGAATAAAAATTAAGATAATTACTACCTTGATCATTTGGCCACACAAAAGAAAATTTGATGGGAAGATTTGACATGCCCAGCTAGCAAAAACAGATCTTCAAATCCACTTTCTTCCATTTCTCTTTTATGTAATAAAAGCTCTTTTTTCCCCCCACTTCCCAAATGAAAAAGTAACCCTGTTCTGTCCCCCCACCTCACATAGGCAGACAGACGAGCAAAAGACGTCTACAGTAATTTATTTCCACAAGCCGACCTGAATCCCTTTGGCAGATGCAAATTCTGGCAGCTACTTTCCGAATGCCTGCCAAGTTTCTTATCACCTCTAGAAACAGGAATCAACGTATCTGTAGTCCGTTGCTGGGGCAACCAAGAGTTCAAAGAGTAGTCAGAAGTCATTCACAAAGTCCAAGCCTTAATTCCGAACAATATCCCATCCGAAGCTCACGATATGCAGTTTTTGTCCGTCACAGAGCCTGCAGAGCAACCCCACCCACTTTTCTCCCCTGTGGGGCGTGGCTCAGTGACTCGGCAATCTCTGGCCCTTCCCCACCTCTTCCTTTGCTGTGCACGCCTCTCCCTCCAACGCTGCCTGGGATCAATCCAAGATTGATCTTCATCGCCCCCTATTAGTGGGTGCCCCGACATGCTTTCCTCCTGGCCTTCAGCTGGAACCTGAGGCGTTGCCAGGAAGGAGGGTCCTGGAGAGGGAGGCCTTGTCAGTTCCTCCCCATCACTTTCAGAGTCATCTTCCTCCATGAGGACAGGCTCGGGAGCCGGAGTCACAACAAACCCTTTTGGTTTTCCACATGATTGGAGGAGAGATTTATGACTCCTCCCACTTTTTTGGAATAGCAATAGCACTTAGACTTATATACCGCTTTACAGAGCGGTTTACAGAGTCAGCCTATTGGCCCCAACAATCTGGGTCCTCATTTTACCAACCTCGGAAGGATGGAAGGCTGAGTCACACTTCAACTGGTCAGGATCAAACTGGTGGCAATGGGCAGAGTTAGCCTGCAATATTGCACTCTAACCACTGCGCCACCACAGTTCCTTTAGTACTTTGATTCTGTAGTCCCCTTGCAGTCTAATAAATGGGGGGAATGCTGTAGATTCAGTATATCTTGATTTCAGGAAAGTTAGTGATGCTAGCTATCCTTGTGACAAATTGATAAAACATGGGTTGGATTTTAGCAATACCCATAGCATTTAGATTTATATACCGCTTCACAGTGCTTTTTATAGTCCTCTCTAAGTGGTTTACAGAGTCAGCCTTTGCTCCCTACAATCTGGGTCCTCATTTTACCGACCTCGGAAGGATGGAAGACTGAGTCAACCTTGAACCTGGTGGGATGAAAGTGATAAGACAGTGGGAGGTTGAACTTTGATTCTGATGAATTGATAATCTAATATCACGTACTGTATTTTTTTCCTTAATTTGAAACCATAAGTTTTAACAAAAAACATCACCCATCTTGTATATCTATCCAATCTAATCTCTGTCTCATTCTTATCTCAAATTTAGCTTGCTTGACTAGATGTCTATGGAGATTCTCAGTCATTCAAGTCACGGTTGTCCCAAAGGTGCTTTTTCAAGAGACCACTGGACTTTCTGGTTTTTCTTCGAAGACGTTTTCGCTTCTCGTCAAGGAAGCTTCTTCATGCCTGGAGTACGAATGGATTTCCAGAAAAATTGCCGGCTATATAGGAACCATTTGCGCTTCAGTTTGAGAGACTCATCCCCAACTTCCTGTGCTTGTCAATAATGAAACGACACAGAGCAACCATAAAGGCTCCATGTCCATTTGCACCACTCAGGTGACTCTATGACGACATAGATAAACCTCCAAGTGGCCTCAATGACTCTAAAACAGGGGTCAGCAACCTTAAACACTCATTTGGACCCGTTTCCCACAGAAAAGAAAACACCGGGAGCCACAAAACTCTTCCAGTGCTTGACTATTTCCTGAGCGGCCACAAAACTAGCATATATAGTTGAATTAAACATTCTGTTTTCTTCTGAAACTTTTCTTTTCTTGGATTTATCCATGATTGGCCTACCGGAGGTCGAAAAGCTTAATAAATAGCGCGTCGGTGGGTATCACACATTGGCAGTTGTGACGCATATTTTGAGCGACGGGGAGCCGCAGCAGAGGGATGAAAGAGCCACATGCGGCTCCAGAGCCACAGGTTGCTGACCCCTGCTCTAAAAGGATGCAAATGACCAGCTGTCTGCAAGGAGTATAAATCCTTCCATTCCCCACCATCCGGTCAGAGCTGAAGAAGCTTCTTGGATGAGAAGTGAAACGTCTTCAAAGAAAAACAAGAAAGTCCAGTTGCCTCTTGAAAAAGCACCTTTGGGACAACTTGCTTGACTAGCTGTTTTTAAACTGCGGCATGTCTATATCACGTGTCCCCTCTTAAACTTTGACCTTTGTGTATTAAAGGAGATATTTGAAGAGGGCTGCTATTTTCTCCTCAGTTTATTAATTTAGAAAATGTACGTGCCACCCTCATCCTTAATGGTTCTGGACAAATTGGAAAAGAACAATCAAATTGTCAGTCAAAGCATGTCGGACATAAAACCTGAATCTAAATAGTGGTTTCATGAAGTCAAAATAAATACTATATATATGTTTCGATAGCCCCTATCAAATTGTAATGAAGTCAGGAGTTACTTTAGATCTAGTGGCTTATTTTTCACAATATGTTCCTCCATCCATGAAGAAAACCAAATTGAAGTCAGGCATGATAATAGGGTTGTTTGATATATAGAATAATAAAGTTGGAAGAAACCTTGGCAGTCTTTCTAGTCCAACCCCTGCTCGAGCAGGAGACCCTATACCCGTGATGGCGAACCTATGGCACGTGTGCCACAGGTGGCACACGGAGCCATATCGGTGGGCACGCAAGCGTTGCCCTAGCTCATCTCCGGCATGCACATGCGTGCCAGCCAGCTGATTTTTTGGGCCTTCTGGGCCCTCTAGAAGTTGGGAAACAGGCTGTTTCCGGCCTCCAGAGGGCCTCCGGGGGGTGGGGAAGGCCGTTTTCGCCCTCCCCAGGCTCCTAGAAAGGCTCTGGAGCCTGGGGAGGGCAAAAAACTGGCCTACCAGGCCCACCATGCCATCACGTGCCAAAAGCGGAGGGAGCGTGTGGGGGGGGGGGTTGAGCGCACATGTGCGGGGGAGCGGGCGCATTGAATTATGGGTGTGCGCATGCGCGTGTGCAACCTCCCTGCTCCTCCCACTTTTGGCACGCAACGGCAAAAAGGTTAGCCATCACTGCCCTATACCATTTCAGACAAATGATTGTCCAGTCTCTTTTTGAAAGCCTCCAGTGATGGAGCACGTACAACTTCTGAAGACAATCTTTTCCATTGGTTGATTGCTCTCACAATTGGGAAATTTCTCCTTAATTCTAGGTTGCTTCCCTTGGGTTAGTTTCCTTCTATTGTTTCTCATCTTGCCTTCTGGTGCTTTGGAAAATAGTTCCCTCGTCTTTGTAGGAGCCCCTCAAATATTGGAGCACTGCCATCATGTCTCCCCTAGTCCTTCTTTTCATTAAGACTTCTCTCTTCTTCTTCTTCTTCTTTTGCCATATCCATCCGTTGGCGATCATGTTGGCAATCCTATTTTTGTCAACAGTCGCATGAGTTTTATCCAAACCAGTTCCTTAGGTTTTGAAGCCATGATGTTCTTCTTCTGCCTGGACCTCGTTTGCCTTCAATCTTTCCCTGGAGGATTAAGTGAAGGATGCCGTATTTTTCTGGGTGTCGCATCACATGTCCAAAATATTCTAACTTTCGCTTTTCAATGGCTTTGATGATTTCCCTTTGCTTTCCCAGGTGGCTTATCATTAAGACTAGATATGCCCAATTCCCATCACCGTTCTTCGTATGTTTTAGCTTCCAGCCCTCCTAATCGTTCCTGCTGCTCTTCTCTGCACTTTTTCCAAAGTCTCAGCATCTTTTTTATGTCACTGTAACCAGAACTGGATGCAGTATTCAATGTGTGCTCTTACTAAGGCTTTGCAAAACAGTACTAGAACTTCACGTGGTCTTGACTCAAACCCTCTATGCAGCCTGGGATTGCTGCATCCTGTTTATGACCTGTAGGAAGTGACTCATTGATGAACTAATGGTACAAGACTTAAGCGATCCCAAAATAACATCGGTCACAGTTGTAGAAAGCGTTATAACCCTCGTGAGCATCTTGAACTTAGTAAAACTCTTTCAGTAGGAGATTTTTTAAAAAACAGTATTCAAGGAGGCTCATTCAATACCCATGCTGCCACATTCTGGATTATTACAACATCCAGACCATATTTAAGGATGTCCCCCCGAATAATATAATAGTCCAGTCCTGTTCTGCCCCAGCTACGGACCCCAAAGAACGCAGCACACACAAAGTCCGTACAAACCTTAATTTACTAATTAAAGACTACTAATGAGCTTTCTTAGTAGTTATTCGAACACAAGTACAATAAATCAGTCTTTTCTGAACAAGGGCTGTTAATTTAACTTCATTAACAGCCGACAAGAATTCAAAGAATAATAACTCAGTTCTGAGGCACAGTATTTCAGATAACTGTAATCTTACTGTGGTTGGCAGAATGCCCAGAAGCAATTTGCAGGAAAACTGATAAGAGAGAAACGAGCCAAATCAAACGTTTTCTGTAATCAAGACGCGAAGGAATTTGAACGAAGTTGTTTCCTGCAAATTGCATCAGTCGTCGTCCTTCCTTAAATAGGCTAAGGGAGTGGCCAATTAGCCCCAAGCCTTACTCTCGAGGAGACCTCCTCCTGAGGAGCCACTTTGGACACTTTTTAAAATCTCCAACCACTTCAGGAATTTATGTTCAGAGCTAATTTTATTGTGCTCGGTTTCATTTTGCTATTCGTTTTACATTTGTTTATTTGGCCCCTCGCTGCTGCTGCTGTTTGAATCTTGGCAGATTCTGATCTGGTGGATTTCACTTGGAAAGGAATCTGTGACAGATTTGGACAGACATACTAAGAATCACACCTTTCCTGCTCACTCTTAACTTCCTGGAAGGCGAATGATAGCTAGAGCCAATCCTCCCAGCCTCTTGTATGGTTCACCTTCACGATTAACCCCTTCACTGTGTGAAACACGGAAAGTATGACGGATTCTGCAGTTCTTCTCCAACCCTGCTAAGATTAGAGAAAAAATTGTCAGAAAACCAATTTTTTCTTGCAAAAGGTAGAAGAAGAAAATAAGAGGGAACTGAGGTGAGGTTACCTGATTATGGGTAGAGAGAGAACTGGGGAGATGGAATGAGATTTGGACAGGTTCAGAAAGCTGAGCTAGAAAATAAGGAGGGAAGAAAAGAGAATACACTTGGAGGCAAAGAGGAGAATGGAATGGAATGGAATGGAATGGAATGGAATGGAATGGAATGGAATGGAATGGAATGGAATGGAATGGAATGGAATGGAATGGAATGGAATGGAATGGAATGGAATAGAATAGAATAGAATAGAATAGAATAGAATAGAATAGAATTCTTTATTGGCCAAGTGTGATTGGACATACAAGGAATTTGTCTTGTGCATATGCTCTCAGTGTATATAAAAAGACAAGATACACTCCTCAAGAATCATAAGGTACAACACTTAGTGATAGTCATAGGGTACAAATAAGCAATCAAATTGGGTGAAATCCAGCAGGTTCTGGAGAACAGGTAGCAGAAATTTTGAGCAATTCAGAGAACCAGTAGTGGAAATTTTGAGCAATTCGGAGAACCGGTAGCGGAAATTATGAGTAGTTCGGAGAACCAGCAAATACCACCTCTAGCTGGCCCGAGAGTGGGGTGGGAATGGAGATTTTGCAATATCCTTCCCCCAGGGGTAGGGAGGGAATGGGGATTTTGCAGTATCCTTCCCCTGGAGTGGGATGGGAATGGAGATTTTGCAGTATCCTTCCCCTGCCACGCCCACCAAGCCACAGCCACAGAACTGGTAATAAAAAAATTTGGATTTCACCACTGAATCAAATCATACTAGGAAATAATCAATATAAATCGTAAGGATACAAGCAGCAAAGTTACAGTCATGAAGTCATAAGTGGAAGGAGATGGGTGATAGGAACAATGAGAAGATTAATAGTAATGCAGACTTAGTGAATAGTTTGACAGTGTTGAGGGAATGATTTGTTTAGCAAAGTGATGGCGTTCGGGAAAAAATTTCATGTGTCATTGTTCTGGTGTGCAGTGCTCTATAGCGTCGTTTTGAGGGTAGGAGTTGCAACAGTTTATGTCCAGGATGCGAGGGATCTGTAAATATTTTCACAGCCCTCTTTTTGACTCTGCAGTATACAGGGTCCTCAATGGAAGGCAGGTTGGTAGCCATTGTTTTTTCTACAGTTCTAATTATCCTCTGCAGTCTGTGTCTGTCTTGTTGGGTTGCAGAACCAAACCAGACAGTTATAGAGGTGCAGATGACAGACTCAATAATTCTTCTGTAGAACTGGATCAGCAGCTCCTTGGTCTCTTTCTGAGTTGGCGAGTTCTGAGTTGGCGCAGAAAGAACATTCTTTGTTGTGCTATAGTGTTATAGATGAGGAAAAGAAGAAAATGTTTAATGCAAATTTACGGTGGAGTAGGGAGAACATCCAATAAGGAATGAATAGCAGGAAGAAGCATGAAAATTTAAATATACCTGTCACGGTGCAGACATGGTATCTTCTGTTCTAGCCAATGATTTACCCCAGTTAAGAAATAATTTTTTGTCTTTCTTGTGTTCCTATTGAACAGGTGTTCCCAACTGGGGTGCGAAACGATGTTCCAGGGGGTGCAAAAACTTGGGTTTAGAAGTTTTAAAAATTATAGTGTATATGCATAATTATATGCATATAATTATTTATTTTTGTAAGGGGTGCGAGAATATATATCAGAAGCGTTCTAGGGGTGTGGGATATAGAAAAGGTTGAGACCCTTGTTGTTGAATAGCGGCAGGATTTTGAAAGCTTGCCCTCTTGTTTGTGAAATAAATGTCAAAAATTAGTTGTGTCAGAAGGTGTGTCTTCTTTTGCAGAACCAAAGGCACGGGTGGCATTGCAGCATCACGGACACCAGAGAGTGCCCAACGCTGAGCAGAACGGCGTAAAAATACATAACCATCCAAGATACGTGTCTCGAAACGAACCCCGGCAGCCGAGGAACGAGAAGCCGCCGCGCTTTCAAAGAGATAGTCAAAACTCGAGACACCACACGGACGGAAGCGGATTGCCGAGGACCAGGCCTTCCGAAAGGCAGAATTCCCTGGGCCCTGATCAGTGGTCCGAAGAGAAAAATAAGTGCGATAGACTTTACCCACGGAAAGATTTTGGATACCCTACGGCCGGTCATTCGGAGGACCTTCCTTTCAAGAGGAGGGAGCCCCCCGTGCAAAACAGACCGGGAAAAATCGGGTCGCTCATGGAAATGAAAGAAAACTCTTCCGGCCACGATCCGACCGACAACAACAACCAGAAACAAGGAAGTCAGATACATCACCCCAACAATTTCTGCGATAGGAAAACGTTGATCCTAGCGAATGATTCTTATACCGGCTTAAAAAACGAGCAGCCGTTCGGTATGTCCGTAGACTATCCGAATCCGGTTAGGACTGATCCCTTTTGTTCCGTACCCAACGGCGATTTGGAACATTTCCCCAAAGGGAGGCGGGTCGGACCTATTAAAATGCCTCCCCAAAACATGGCCATGCCCTTTGATGTCAAAATGTACTATGATTCCGGTCCCAAAAAGCGATCTGGGCCCATCAAGCCGGAAAAAACGTTGGAGCCACCTGTTTCGGGAGAATACGAGAAAAGTTGGCAACCGGGCGATGAATGTTTCGCTCTTTATTGGGAAGACAACAAGGTATGCTTTTTGTTCCAAGCCAAAGCTAATGTCGTCTTTTTTTTTTTTTTTTTTTTGGAGTGGCCATCATTTTTTTTTAACTTTTTTAAAGTTATAAAGTTGAACTGGGGGAAAAGGGACACTTAGTTGTGTCAGAAGGTTACAAAAGGGGATTATTAGTATGTGCCCCGGGACACTGCAACCGTCACAAGTACATGCCAGTTGCCAAGCGTTTGAATTTTTGATCACGTGACCATGGAGAGGTTGCAACGGTCGTATGTGTGAAAACTGGTAAAGGTCGCTTTTTTCAGTGCCATTGGAACCTCAGAGAACGGTCACTAAGCAGATGATTTTAAGTCAAAGGACTATCTGTACAGAATGATTTTTTTAAAAGGCAGCGTGGTCTATTCACAGGCTAAATTTTGAAATATACCCGTGTGCCTAAAGGCTCTTTGGATGCCGATCAAGTGATCTGCTATCCACAGACGTTTGACTGAAGTCACAGATATAACAAAATAAGCTTGTATATCAGGGTGTCAAACTTGATTTCTTCGATGGCTGGATTAGCATTGTAGTTCTCCACGGGCCGGCTTGGGGAGAGGGCAGACGAGACAGACACCATCTGCAGCACCCTGCTGGCCTAAAGGAGCATGGGGAGCTGTGCAAGTCCCTCCGCGCCCCATTTTCGGCTTGGACGGCCTCCTGCACTACCTTGCCGGCCAAAATGGGGCATGGAGGGGGGGCTCGTACGGTCCCCCCGTGCCCCATTTTGGCCGGCAGAGTGCTTCGAGAGGCCATCCAGGATGAAAATGGGGCGCTGGGGTCTGCACGCGGCCCCTTCCCCCCATGCCCCATTTTGGCTGCCAGAGGCACTGCGAGCCAGTCCTTTGCTATTTCCAGGCTGGGTCCATGGGCCAGATTTAAGCACCCCGCAGGCCAGATCTGGCCCGTGGGCCTTGAGTTTGACATCCCCGTTGTATATCATGGTTTTGTTGTAAGGTTATAAAGTTGAATTGGGGTCAAGGGACATTAGCTTTGTAGTAAAACCTTTCCTATCCTCTTCTGCCCTATAAAAACAAATCAGCTCTTTGAAGCTAGCATATGCAGAAGTATTTTTCTGAGCCACGGAGTTCACATTGGTAGCTGCAGACAATCCCGCTTAAAAGCTGTTGCGTTCCGGGGATGACAAATTGATTAGTGATAGACTTGTAAAAAGATAGTCGGCCTCTAAAAAGTGATTCACTTCTCAAGGCTTTATGGCCCCGGGTGTCCTTAAGAGATGGAGATAAAACCTTAAGCAAGACAGATGTTTTAGCCCATCTTTCTTTTTAAAACAAGCAATGATTCCTGGAACAGATTCCAGGACTTCTAAGAAAGTAATTCGGTACTAACACAGATCAGAAATTGGGATTCTTCTAGGTCCGTGATGGCGAACCTATGGCACGCATGCCACAGGTGACATGCGGAGCCATATCAGTGGGGACGCGAGTTCAGTTTCGGCGAACATGCGCGCGCCGGCCAGCTGATTTTCGGGCCTTCTGGGCCCACTGGAAGTCGGCAAGCAGGCTGTTTCCAGCCTCCGGACGACCTCCGGGAGTGGGTGGGGAAGGCCGATTTCGCCCTCCCCAGGCTCCTAGAAAGGCTCTGGAGCCTGGGTAGGGCGATAAATGGGCCAAAAATGGGGGAAGCACAGGGGGGAGGTCATGCACACATGCACGGGGGCGGGGGCCGTAGAATTATGGGTGTGGACAAATGCACATGCAACTCCCCCCGCGCTTCCCCCACTTTTGGCACGTGATGGCAAAAAGGTTAGCCATCACTGTTCTAGGTGTTGGTGACAGCTGCAATAAGAAAGGACCCGTAAGCTTATTAAAGATCTTTGTTCTGTCATGCTGGACCTACGGTTTCTAAATTTTTTGACAAAGGGTAGGTTGAGCTTAAAAAACAAGGCAAAGAATCATGCTGAGGCATATGCAACAAAGCTATATAACCGTGATGGCGAACCTATGGCACGCGTGCCGGAAATGGCACACAGACCCATCTCTCCAGGCGCACAAGCCATTGCCTGTTGCTCTTCCAGTTTCCGGCGCGCTGGCCAGCTGGTCTTCACATGCGCGGGGTGCCAGAAACTGAAAGAGCAGCCACCTGGTGCACATGCCAGGAACTTCCGGTTTCTGGCGCGCGCATGTGCACCGGCCAGCTGGTCTTCGCACATGCATGCACACCAGAAACCAGAAGATCAGATGGCTGGTGCACATGTGTGTGCCGGAAACTGGAAGATCATCGGTGCCGAAAAGGTTTGCCAACACTGCTATATCACAAAGCAACAAAGATGATTAGGGGACTGGAGGCGAAAACATGAAGAACGGTTGCAGGAATTGGTATATCTAGTTTAATGAAAAGAAGGACTAGGGGAGACATGATAGCAGTCTTCCAATATCTCAGGGGCTGTCATAAAGAAGAAGGAGTCAAGCTATTCTCCAAAGCACCTGAGGATAGAAGAAGAAGGAGCAATGGGTGGAAACTAACCAAGGAGAGAAGCAACTTAGAACTAAGGAGAAGTTTCTTGACAGTTAGAACAATTAATCAGTGGAACAACTTGCCCCCAGAAATTGTGAATGCTCCAACACTGGAAATTTTTAAGAAGATGTTGGATTACCATTTGTCTGAAGTGGTGTAGGGTTTCCTGCCTAAGCAGGGGGTTGGACTAGAAGACCTCCAAAGTCCCTTCCAACCCTTTGTTATAACAGGACTTATTTCCATTTTCAGTAATCAGTTTAACGAACCAAACCAACACATGGTTACAAAGTGTTTTGCATTGTTTACAGAAAGAAAATGATCCCCTTATCTCATGCTTCATAGTGGAACTTGGCTAGACTCCTTCATTAAGCCAAATAGGTTGATTGCTACATCGACTACAATTAGATATATGTTATTTATTCCAAGCCCTCATTCCTTTTCCTGAATCAAGCAGGTCATTTTGGTACGATACTGCAGGCGAAAGGCCTCACAATTTCTGCTTTGAGTTTGCTGCATGTTAGAAACGCACGTTATTGTTCTTCTTGGGAAAGTGGCAGGGTGGATAAAAATCAATGATTTTTTAAATTTTTTTTTAAAAAAATCAGATTTTTTTATTTAAATTGGATTTTTTGATTTAAATTGGATTTTTTTGATTTTTATCGAATTTATTTTAATAAAAAACTTGGGGTAAAAATCTATCGTAAGATAGTTTTCTATTTAAGATACATAAATAATTTAGTTTATTCAGCATGAAATGGAGCTTAGTTATGTAGCATGAGGCTGTATATTCTGCAACACTGGGACTATCGGTGAGTCAACAGTGGGTCAAAGGAGTAGCAGAGATGACAGTTGTTCTTTAAAAATGATGATTTAAATCGAGTTGATTTAAATCAAGCCTTTTTACTAGTGATTTAAATCGAGTTGATTTAAATCACAATTTAAATCAACTCGATTTAAATCAAATCCACCCTGGAAAGTGGAATACCTTAGGGTTTTGTTTTTTTTTTTTACCCCCCAAGTACTCCTCAAGAACTAAAGAAGCTTCTTGGATGAGAAGCGAAACCTCTTCGAAAGAAAAAAAAAAAACAACGCCAGAAAGTCCAGTTGTCTCTTCAAAAACCACCTTTGGGACAACCATGACCTGGATGACTGAGAATCTCCATAGACAAAATCTTCGACTTACAACAATTCATTTAGTGACCATTAGAAACACCACTGGAAAAAAGTGACTCATAACCGGGTTTTTTTGCACTTAGTGACGGTTGCAGGGTCATCCCAGGATCACTTGATCAAAATTCAGATACTTGGCTTAATGAAGGAGTCTCGCCAAGTTCCATAGTGAAGCATGTGATAAAGGGACAACTTTCTTTCTGGAAACCATGCAAAACTCTTTGTAACCATGTACTATGTACACTGCAACCGTCATAAATACGAGTCCGTTGCCAAGTATCTGAACGTTGGTCACATGACCACGGGGATGCTGTGACAGTCATAAGGGTGAAACATGGGTCATAAGTCACTTTCTTCGGTGCCGTTGTAACTTCGAACGGTCACCAAGTGAATGTTGTAAGCCGAGGGCTACCTGTAGTGGCTCGGTTTGTTAAACTGATGTTTGAAAAATGGACATCATTCCTGATATAACAGAATAACAGAGTTGGAAGGGACCTTGGAGGTCTTCTAGTCCAGCAACTGGCATGCATTTACGACGCTCGGGAGTGTTCTGTCCCAGTTCGGGATTCCCGAGGATATTGACACACACCAACGGTCCTTATCAAATTTATTAAGTAGCAAGAATAAACCAAAGTCCGGCAAAGGTTGGCAACCAGCCCAGAAAACAAAATACGATAAGACTTTTCCAAAAATGCTCTGATGATAATTACAAGTTGTTTCCAGCAAGAAATTTACTAACGGCGTGTGACTTAAATAGGCTAAGGGAGTGGCCAATTATCCTCAAGCCCTACTCTCAAGTAGACCTCCTCCTCCTGAGCAGCCATTCCTGCCTTTTGGCAGCCCTGCGTGCTCGAGCATTGAGAAGAGACTCCTCCCCTTCGCTCTCTCCACTTGAAGGAGCCTCTGGAGGTTCTGGAGGCCCTGGCTGAATCTCTGCCTCTGGCACCACATCCTCTTCAGCCTCCTCGCTGTCCAACGCGAGTGCCGGCTGCGCAGGCTGCTGGCGCGATACCACACCAGCCTCCTCGTCGTCGGGATCAGCCACGATCCGTGCAGGCCACTGGCGGGCCACAACAAGCATCCCAAAGGTGCTTTTTTCAAGAGGCAGCTGGACTTTCTGTTTTTTTCTTTGAAGTCATTTTGCTTCTCATCTAAGAAGCTTCTTCAGCTCTGACTGCATGGTGGTAAGGGAAGGATTTATACTCCTTGCAAACAGCTGGTCATTTGCATCCTTTTAGAGAGTCGTTGAGGCCACCTGAAGGTTTCCCTTTGCCGTCAGGGTCACCTGAGGTGTGCAAATGGGTGTGGAGCCTTCTTGGAACTGTTGAAAGGACTGTGTGGTAGTTTGGCGATAGATGATATTGTATCCCTCCCCCTCTGTTGAGAGAGGGCTGCTTAATTTTGACGTAGATGACCCTGAGGACACAGATAAACCTCCAACTGGCCTCAATCACTCTCTAAAAGGATGCAAATGACCAGCTGTCTGCAAGGAGTATAAATCCTCTCATTCCCCACCATCCAGTCAGAGCTGAAGAAGCTTCTTGGATGAGAAGCGAAACATCTTCAAAGAAAAACCAGAAAGTCCAGTGGCCTCTTGAAAAAGCACCTTTGGGACAATCATGACCTGGAGGACTGAGAATCTCCATAGATCTCCCGGAATCACATGATCCCCTTTTTGCGACCTTCTGACAATCAAATCAGTGGGGGGAAAGCCAGATTCACTTAACAACCGTGTTACTAAATTAACGACTGCAATGCTTCACTTAGCAACGGATCGTCCAATGGGGCAAAATTCACACGGCCAGCGTCTCGTTTAGCAAACCAAAATTTTCGGGTTCATGGTAGCGTAAGTCGACGACTACCCGTATCGCTGGGGAAAAAACGACACGCCGTGCGTAGATTGTAATTTAGTGGTTGAAATAGGCAATCGCTTGTTTTGTAAAATGTCAAAAAAAATAAATTACATTTCTCCCCCCCCCTTTTCTCCCCCTCCCCAGTTTTATCGGGCAGAAATCGAAGCTCTCCATTCTTCTGGGACAACTGCTGTTGTTAAATTTTGTGACTATGGAAACTATGAAGAAGTGTTATTATGCAACATCAGGCCTGTTCAAGCTGACACCTGGGTACGTGATAATAAATTGTATACAAAGAGATAAAGTACAGTATTTCTTATGAACATGGAAGCCATAAACAGATGACTGATTGCAGAGGGTTTTCGAATAAAAACCTGAAGACAAGAATTCTAAAACTGGTTAAGGTGGTTTTTTTTGTTTTTTGTTTTTTTTTAACTGCATCTCCATCTATAACTATGCCTTAAGAAGCATGTAGCCTTAACTTTACCTAATAACGTTTGTAAATTGAGCAATATATTCTTGGCTTTTCAAGCAAATAATGATTGACGATGAAGAAGAAGAATTTAATGGTTTTGAAATGTATTCTGCCAGGCTGTAGTTTCTAATTGATGGGTTTCCCATGTGGTTTGCTTTAATTTAGAAAGCAGAGGAGTTCGCAAAATTTAAACTCTGGAGTTTAAATGTCTTTTCCCTCCCTTAAATGTCCCATGTTCACTGTATGTATGCCTGAGTTTATCATTGTTTCTCTAATTGTATTGTGTTCCTTGGACAAACATTAAAGATATTTGAGGGATGGTCTAGCCATAAGGGTTTAAAAGGCTTTGTGGAACATCCAACATCCCAACACAATGAGTTTCTAGAAGGGTGCCAAATAATAGAAACAGGGGTTATTTTTCTGAAGGGTGGTTAAAAAAACAAACAGAAAGAAAACTTCTCATTCGATTGACATTTTTTCCCTCCCTCCCTCTTCAGTGGGGTTATTGTGTGGCAAGAACAAGAAATTAATGTTCTTTCTCAAAACGTATTTGCGTTTAGCCATTTTTGTTTAGCTCCCATCATTATTCATTATTTCATATTAACGATACACGGAAGACGGAGCATACCAAGTTAGCTTCTATAATTTTTTTTTAAAGTTTGAAAATGCCGCGTTGTATCCCGCATTTTTGACTCTTTAAAATGTTCGCTTGTGTGTTTTACTTCAGAAACCCAAGTTTAATTTTTTTTATATATATAGCTTTTAAACATACTTTGGCACTTACTCGAGGTTTTGCATCTCTCGGTGCCAATTTTCATCGAATGACGGGATAAATACCGTGATTTCAAGATTAGGGCACAGGCAAGGATAGATACTAAATATCTAGTAGGTTTCTTGAAGAAAAGAAGCAAATCAGCTACCTAATTAAAAGCATCATCAGTTCATCTACAGAAATTTTCAGGGTTACCCGTTGAATGTTTTATAGTCATCATCACGGCCATTGCTTTCATCTCTTGGCGGTAAATTATACGCAATACAAATAGGCCAAGTACATGCAGTCAGGCTTGAAATAAACAAGAGACCGGACTAAGATGAAAGGTTCTCACTGGATTTCATGGGTTTGGGTAGAACGACGAGATTTTAGTTCCTGTATATCTCCGGAACGTTTCTATTGTGGTCTGTCCAATTAAATATTTCCTTTTTCTGAAGTTGGACTTCATTTTTGGAAAGGCGCACCGTTCTGATTTCTTTTGATCTTCTTAAATTCATTTTTGTTAGCAAACCAGCAAAAAAATATATATTAATAAAATAAATAAGGTTTCTCGAATGATCATTGAACAAGTCTTTTCTATGACTTCTCGCGTCGTGGTGGATAAATAGCAATTCACTTAATAACAGCGAAGTACATGGTGCAGAGGGCAGGAACGAATTAAGCAAGCAAATACATTTTAGTTTGATTAAACCTAAATGAACGGCTACACGAATTCTGTATTTTTTTCCCCCCATAGAGCAATAAATATGGGAGTGTTGAATTAGCTTTTCCTATGTAGGCATTACGGAGTTTTCATTAGAAAATGTGGACAAGAAAGCAGTTTGCATTTCCATTTGTTGAAGGATTGTTTAACCTTTTACACTTGACTAGAGAATGTACCCATATATATATATATACATATATATATGTAATCCACTGTTATGCTAAATGTGGCAGTGATCACAGAATAAAGTTATATGTTTGCAACATATCAGCTCAGGCTTAAAGGCCATCACCGTAATAAACTTTTTTTTTTCCTCTTGCAATATTTAAAATAAATATCAAAAAGCATGCATTGTTCAGACGAAATTAAGTCTGTGCTGTAGAAATATAAAATAAACACAAATAAGTTAAACCCAAAGTGTTCTATGTTATTTTCTCAGATTTAGAAGTGACACCAACGAGTACATATTTATCAGGAGCTCATTTTATTCTCAGTATACTTTCTCCTCCTTACTTGCAGATACCTTTGTACTTTGCAGTAGTTTGACTTTATTTTACAAAAGTAGATCTTCAGCATCTGGTGACAATAGACCCGTGATGGTGAACCTATGGCACACGTGCCAAAAGTGGCATGCAGAGCCATCTGTCCGGGCACGCGAGCCCTTGCCTGTTGCTCTTCCGGGTTCCAGCACGCTAGCCAGCTGCTCTTCACGCACGCGGGAGTGCCGGAAACCAGAAGACCAGGTGGTGGGTGTGCATGCGCGCTCCGGAAACCGGAAGAGCAGCTGCTTGGTGCGCATGTGCACCGGGTGGCTGCTCTTCCGGTTTTCGGCACACGCACACCCCTGTTTTGGCACTTGGTGCCAAAAAGATTTGCCAGCACTGCAATAGATTATTGTGGCTTCCTCTGTTCCTGAAAGATGTTGAGATAATTCAGAGAGAAACTGTTTTAAAAAAACAGATGCCATTTTCCAATTGGCTAGGTCAGGAGTCCGCAACCTGCGGCTCTGGAGCCACATGTGGCTCTTTCACCCCTCTGCTGTGACTCCCTGTCACTCAAAATATGATAACCGCCAAAGTGCGACACCTTCCGGCATGCGATTTATTTAGCTTTTCAACCCCCCCGGCAGGCCAACCATGGAGAAATCCAAGAAAAGAAAGTTTCAGAAGAAAACAGAACGTTTAATTCAACTACATATGCCAGTTTTGTGGCTGCTCAAGAAATAGTCAGGCACGGGAAGGGTTTTGTGGTTCCCGGTGTTTTCTTTTCTGTGGGAAATGAGTCCAAATGGCTCTTTGAGTGTTTAAGGTTGCAGATCCCTGGGCTAGGCGATTTTAGCTTCCTTTCATAGAACACTTGTCAAATTGACAATCTTCGTATGGGTCTTCTTTTTACAGGTAAATCTTGACTTACAATAATTCGTTTAGTGACTGTTCAAAATTCAGTACTGAGAAAAGTGATCTATGACTGTTTTTCACACTTACGACCCTTGCAGCATCCCCCCTCCCCGGCACGTGATCAAAATTCACGTGCCTGGGAGGCAACTGGCATGTACTTAATGACAGTTGCAGTGTCCCCGGGTCACATGATCCCCCTTTTGTGACCTTCTGACAAGCCAAGTCAACGGGGAAGCCAGATTCACTTAACAACCATGTTCCTGACTTAAGAACTGCGACGATTCCCTTAACAACGGTGGTGAGAAACTCGTAAAATTGGGCAAAATTCACGTAACAAATGTCTCTCAGAAATTTGGGGCTCAATTGTGGTCGTACGTCGAGGACTGCCTGTATTGTAGAAATTACCTTTTGGGGCACGAGAGGTGCGGTGGCCTAGAGCTGGAGCTCCTGCCTCACAATCAGGAGGCCGTGAGTTCTATCCTACGTGGAGGCAGATATTTCTCTCTGGGCACACTGAGAATATATCTGCTGAATATAACTCCGCATTGGCAACAGGAAAGGCATCCGGCCAGTAAACACTCGGCTCTGTTCAGTTGCCCAGACTCCCCCTCCCCCTGCAAGGGATTATGGGGTCATTAAAAGAAGATGATTCTAGAGGCGTCTTCCAACTTCATCATATCACTGCCCCTCTCTACGTTGAATTTAACCTCGAAGGGATACTTCTAATGCTTAAAGTTGGTTAGAGACTGATCTATGTGTTAAGTGTTGAGCTGTTTCATAAAACCCAATGCTAAGTATTTCCCCTGTACCTCTCTCCAGGGCCACTTCCAAAACTCTTAACTTTACAGTAACGTAACATTTCCAGGAAACCAAATATGAATTGATTTCATTCCTAGGAGGAAGGTCACCTACTGTGATACTGCACAGATGTGAATTCTGTCTCAGGGTACAACATTACTCCAGAATTACTAGGCCCATCTATGCTATCTGTACTACAGTGACATGATGGGTTTTGCTTCCCGGGAGGTTGCATGCGATAACATTCTAGCTTCATTGGAAGAAAGAATAACAGAAAACAATTTATATGCAATTGCTCTACGGTGATTACCAGCTTTTTCACTAGAATATCTTTCTCTCCGACCAAAAAAAACAGTTAAGAAATGTAGAATCCCAAAAACCGGCTTCTCAAAAGTTTCTGTGCGATTCTAATTCAGCGTTTGGGAAGATCCACGGATCACGATAACTTGATAGCGTAACGCGAACGAACAGAAAACGTTATTTCAATTAAATTTGACTTAAGTAAACCCTGTCGACTTTTTTTCCTTGTGATTTATGATTCACTTCCCACGAGCCGTGACAGCTGTCAGATTTCATTACAAGGGAAGAAAGTTTTGGGTGAAAAGTAAAAACTGCAATAAAATTAGTTTTAAAAAGAGCTTGGGTGGAAACCATGTTAAATGACAAAAGGATATATAGATTTACAACCACAACGTTGAGCCCAACGTTTCTGTTTGCTAAGCCAGGCAGTTGTTAAGTGAGTTTTTCTCCCTTTGCGACCTTTGGCCCACCGTTGTTAAATGAATCACCGCAGTTCTTGAGTTAGTAACATGGTTGTTAAAGTCAATCTGGCTTCCCCATTGCCTTTGCTTGTCAGAAGGTCGCAAAACAGGATCGCATGACCCCGGGATACTGCAACTGTCATAAGTACATGCCAGTTTCCAAGCGTTTGAATTTTGATCACGTTGTCACGGGGATGCTGCAACGGTCATAAGTGTGAACAATGGTCGTAAGTCAGTTTTTCAGTGCCCTTGGTTGTAAGTCGAGGACTAGCTGTACAAAATAAGTTTTAAAAACGTGGTTTATTCACAGGCTAAATTTGAAATACACATGTACCTAAAGCAGTGTTTCTCAACCTTGGTATCTTGAAGATGGGTGGGGATTCATTCCCAGAATCCCCCAGCCAGCGCTGCTGGCTGGGGGATTCTAGGAGTTGAAGTCCACCCATCTTCAAGCTTCCAAGGTTGAGAAACACTGACCTAAAGGCTCTTTGCGTACTGATCTGCCATCCACAGACATTTGACTGAAGTCACAGATATAAAAATAAGCTGCTCTGCATCCTTTTACAGGTGGTCCTTGACTTACGACCGCAACGGAGCCCAACATTTCCGTTGCTAAGTGAAACATGTGTTAAGTGAATTTAGTCCCATTTCGTAACCTTTCATGCCACAGTTGTTAAGGGAATTGCTGCGGTTGTTCCCTTAGTAACCCGGTCATTAAATGAATCCGACTTCCCTGTTGACTTTGCTTGCCAGAAGGTCGAAAAAGGGGATCAAGTGACCTCGGGACACTGCAACTGTCAAAAGTATGAATCGATTTCCAAGCGTCTGAATTTTGATCATGTAACCGTGGGAATGCCACAACGGTTGTAAGTCTGAAAAATGGTTGTAAGTCACTTTTTGTAACTTTGAATGGTCAGTAAATGAACTGCCGTAAGTCAAGGACTACCCGTACTCTAACTTGATTCCTCCTGATCATAGTTAACCGTTTCAATAAACTGGATTTCTTGTAGATATTTTTCCATGGCTTCCCAAGTAGATATTCTACCTTCCTCTCTCTATATACAGTATATCTCCATCCCTCCTCGGAAGAGGTTGTAGAAAAAATGGTTTTAAACGTTTTTTAAAAAAGGTTGGCCACGCCCACCCAGTCACATTACCTCCACCACCACCAAGCCACACCCACAGAACCGGTAGTAACAAATTTTACATTTCACCAATGTCCTGTTTCCCGTAAAATAAGACATCCCCTGATAATAAGCCCAATCGGGCTTTTGAGTGCATGGCAATAAGGCCAAGCGCTTATTTCAGGGTTCAAAAGAATATAAGACAGGGTCTTATTTTGGGGGAAACACAGTATATAATGATAGATAGATAGATAGATAGATGGATGGATGGATGGATGGATGGATGGATGGATGGATGGATGGATATAGATATAGATATAGATATAGATAGATATAGATATAGATATAGATATAGATATAGATATAGATATAGATATAGATATAGATATAGATATAGATATAGATATATAGATATATAGATATATAGATATAGATATAGATATCTATTTTCTTACTTCTTCATAGGGTTTATGTGTGTTTTTCTTCTAGCCAGGTTTTCCCTACATAACCAAGGTTTTTCTGCAGCCCCAGCTCAGTAGAATCACATCCACTCGATTCTGGGCTTTTTTCTTTTCTAACAGCTAGCAAGCTCTTCCTGCTAGGTGGGAGACCTATATAGATCTATTTCTTGCTCGTTTGCTTTCATGAGTAGGCCACACCCATATCTTATGTATCCTCCCTATAAAGGTATAGTATCTATTTTCTTACTTCTTCGTAGGGTTTAAGAAAGGCTAGAAGAAAAACACACATAAACCCTACGAAGAAGTAAGAAAATAGATACTATACCTTTACAGGGAGGATACATAAGATATGGGTGTGGCCTACTGATGAAAGCAAATGAGCTAGACTCTCTTTGTCCGAAAAAATGCTTTTAAAAGTTTTTTTAAAAAAAGCCTCTGATGATCACGCTGCTCAGCTGGGATCGTCAGAGGCTTTAAAAGCATTTTTTTTACAACCTTTTCAGCCGAAGAGGTTGTAGAAAAAAATGGTTTTAAAAGTAAAAAAAAAAAAAAAGGTGGCCACACCCACTCAGTCATATTACCTCCCCACCAAGCCACGCCCACAGAACCAGTAGTAACAAATTTTATATTTCACCACTGACCTCTAATGCAATTTTTCCCAGTTCTGTCAAAGGCCTTATCAGTTTTGTTTTTTTCAGTCATTACCAGCACAAAAATCCCCACTTGTATCAATTTGTCTGAAATTTGACAAGCTTTTGTCTTTCCGTAAAAGAGGTTACTACTCCCAGAAAGTTCATCTTGGCAGAAGTCCATATTTTTCATGGAAAGAATACTTGGATCCGATAATAAACGCAACATTGTCCGTGCTCATTTCAG